CAGTCATCGTGGAAGTATTCGTGAGTGATCGTGTCGGTGTGTTTTGGAATAAGTACTTGATATACGACAGGTTAGTGATTATTTTCAGTGTTCACTGATGATGTTGATGTGAATAGGAAAGTGATGGTTTATAATACCTGTAAAGAAAAGAAAATATGTTAACAGGATAATAAATGTCAATGAAATAGGTATGTAGGGAGAAAAAATTATTGCAAAGTTTCGTCCTACTTAACACTCATCAGTTGAATGTACTTTGCATCACAGAGTTGATAATCACTTTGAGTACATCCAATTTTCCAGTTTCAAATGGGATGAAGCGTTGATTTTGAATTCTACTACTTGACTGTCACATCAAATAGGTTGAGTTATAGAGGTTGACGTTACGTAATAACACAGACTGATTAAAGTGATGACACTCCCTAACATAGATGAACAATGAGTATTGCTCAAATACACACAGATCAATATAAAAACATACTCGTTGAGTGAGTGACATACAACACTCAATCAAAACTGTTTTTTTTAATGCAAATGTAAATTGGTGTGTCCACTTTGGTGAAGGAAGTGCGGTGTGAAGCGAATAACAATGGCAACATTAACAACTTATGTACAATTGATAGGGTAACCAAACATTCGCATCTACACAGTTACACACACCCACTTACACAGAAGTTGGAAACGGGTAAAAATATATTAAGTTCATTTAGAATAAACATTAGAATTGTTGTTTTTATAACGAAAGATAAACACCTCGATGAAGAGAATATAAGAATAGTGATTCGTTTGTATGAACGAATCCTTTCACACTCGCTGAGCTCTGTATTGTTATAAGACGTTACAGAGGAGGGTAATATTTGGTAAAACTGAGTTTGATTCATGCGAACGGAGGTTTTTCATTGGATTCATTTGTAATAAACATAAAACTCATCGGAAAATGTTTGTGAAATTTCTTCAAGTTATTATGTTGTTACATTGAATAACACGCTGATACATAGATCAAAGTTTCTATCACTCAATAATTAGAAATCATCAATGTCTGTCGTGCATATAATATGTTTATAACTTACAGTATCTTGTTTCGTTGGTTGAGTAGATCTGTCAACGTAATGTTTGTTGAAATCATTCGAGAGCAAGGTAACATCAGTAAAACACAAAAGACAGGAACCATTCGTTCGTGACTTTCTCAAATGCTTTCGAACTTATCATAACTACAATGAAGCACAAAGAAAAATATTCACTTTACGCATTATGCCACTCGGTGAAAATACAAGTGTACTACTTGATCATTAACTAATTTCAAGAATTGTACTAACAACAGTAAAGCATCAAACTGTTTTCTGATAAAAACAAAAACAACTGCAATACTACTAATAAAGTTGAAACAAGTAATTTATTTTCGCAATCTGTTCGAGTACATTTACACCTATCAATGTACAATGAAAGAAATAAGAAACCCTTTCTGAATTCGTTGTATACAAATGAATTTCAGCGAACTAGACAATGCATATTGTCAAATTCAACAGTGACAGTAGAACAAATCAATACGTTGACTATACACATGCAAGATTCAAACTGTTTCAGATGAACACATAAACATGAATACAAATTATTCAGAATGTGAGTAACAAGTTTCTGTGAATACTTTGAACAAAACAAAATCACATATCAGGTATTAAAATGAAGCTACTGATTATTCGTAAGTAATATGTTGATATGTTACACACAAAATCAGAAACAAATTATATTACTCATATCAATAATTAAAAGTAGTTTTAGATAGATAGTTTAACAGAAAAGTAGGCAACGTTTATTCAAATTAATTTAAGACTTTTCATTAGAGGGTTGTGAAGATTGTTGAGTTGCATTACAATCATGAACCGATGATCGATGCTAGACGACCGTCAGACACCTGAAGTCGCTGTAGGTCGTGTGGTCCTGATGTGGGACTCATCTGAAGTGCACATTTACATACTGCCCAAACGGGAACCGAACCCAACACATTGGTATGCACACAAACGCCTAAACTCTTGACAACCAACGGTGTTAATGTTTAAATGTGATCAATCGACATAATTGAGTAACCTAAACCATACATTAACTTTCACGACTGCCTATTCGATTTTTTTTATGTTCTGTGAATCTAGTGGAATAATAAGTTCTTCAAAGTGTACTGCCCACTTGTTTTACTAATCTTCTATGTTGCTGAATACACAGTGATCATCTCGGTTTACGATATTTTCAAGCACGATACTTCGATCTCTCATGGTACATTAGAATGCAGCCAATTCCACAGACATTGATGTATATTGCGAATATATGAGCGTGGCTTATTCGAAGTTCAGATAATCAACAATGGACGAAGTGTGTGTGAATGAGTTTTGCGCTTATTTGAAAAGAATCAGCGCAACTCCTCCTGTGCGTGAGGCATTTTCTTGTTCACAGTCGAAGTTAGACCGCAACTCATCTAAAGCTAATATTTTAGTCCAACCGGCGCGCGAAGTGTTTAGTTGATTAGCAATGTCACTATATAGACATCTACAAATGAGCAGCAACTATTTCTAGTCTCCGAAAAAGTACGAACATCCCATGTATCTATATTACTCACTTGTTTGTTTACCGAAATATTTAATTGTTAACTTATATTAATACTTACTTATGTATCTACCTACCTACCTACCTACCTACCTACCTACCTCTTTTCTCACCTCCTCACCTATTTTCTTTCTTATTAGCTAATTTACTAACATGCTTACACACTTACTAACTTACCTACTGATTCTCTTATTAACTTAACTTCACGCTAGCCCACATTATTCTTACTTACATAATTACTCACTTATATATTTATTCAATTATCAAAGTCTTTTCTTACGCCGTCGTGTAAAATGTCGTGAGGTCATGTGATCTTCTAAGTGTACTGCTAGTCCTAGAATAGTTATAAATGTTATAAGCAATAAAAACAGCATCGTCTAATACTCCATGTCGTCCAAAAATATCGTCGTTACTTCGAGGATCAGAACAACAATGTTTTAATAGAGAAAATGACCGATGTAATGAATTTAGGGACATCCATCCCGGTTTCTTTTATCCTTAAATAATGAGATCAATTTTTACACAGCATAAATTTTATATGCTATCATCCATGCCTCAGTTGTAAATGATGTTCGCCTCGTATCCCTATCATTCCTAGTAGCATAATTCGTATAGACACCTTATGCTTAACTCCACTTTCTCCCCATTTATCTATACATTATCAGTTGACAACAATCGATTCACATTATTTATATAACCCACTCATATACTCATGCTGTTTCCTCATTTATTTTAAGCATTCTTATTTCGAAGTTTCCACACTGTCACCAGTCAGTAACGTACCCATTATTGTGATAGATGGTTTTAGCAGCCTCTTTGCTTTGCGATTAAACTTAAGTAATAAGGCCACCAAATCAAACAGTTAATACACTAGTGTTAACACAAAAAAGTGACTTTATTACCTTCGATAAACGATTTACGAAACTTGAAGACATACCAAAAATTAAAAAAGAGAACGCACCCATGTCAGTACTAACTCGTCACAAATGATTCAGGATATTCGCTGTCCTATTTGTCATTTCAGTACCACATACCTGGAACCATATCGAAACGACAAGAAGAAAGTGCTGAGAGGTTAACTAATTTCTGCTAGTTCCTGAAAAGATGTAAGATATTAGATATTATACCTGACTCGATGAACTCACACTTACATACGGATTATCATCTCTCGCCCTGATCAGCTGTGCCTGATGCATGTCTAGAAGCATGTTTGTTGTTAACATTGCCATTTCTCCTGATCACTAAGTATTTCCTCCCTACTTCTTATTTTTATGTATCCTTCATTGATAACACTTTCATCCTCCCACACAGCCTTGTAACCAAATAAACAACTAATTTATCTAATAATATACTTCTGAAAGCTTCATCACACTAGTGTTAGAATTTTCTCTTTACTATTCTGCACACTTCAACTAAATTATCTCATTTTCGGCAATTCGACAGCTGCTAGTGTCTAGAAATCCTTCTGCTCTGAGACAAATGCTCTCACTTAAATTATCGGACATACATATTCATAAGGGATTATCAAATGACTGGAATTAGTACACTAGAGTGACCAGACTATTGAAACATTTACAAGTACGTAGAACCATAACTAGAGAGCAAGAAGTGAGAGCGAAGAAATCAATCGGTGAAAAAGATATTGGATATACGATAGTAGCTAGTTATCAAAATGCCGGATATTGGAAAGTGAGCATTTTACCGAAGCATTATTACCACGCCTCTCGAAGTTATCTTCGAAAATTAGTGCAACAAAGAGGGGAAACTTCAGCACATGCTTCTGTGAAAACATCTCATTAGAAGTTGTTGTAACTTGGAATGCTCTCTCAACAAAGGTAACCACAGCCCCCTCAGTGGACAGCTTTGAGAACAGACTTGATAAACACTTACTCGCATACGGATTATCATCTCCCTCGTGGACAAGCTGTACTTGATGGACGTCTTGAGACCTACTAGTTGTTATTATTACCATCTACTCAGATCACTAACTAAATCTATCTTGCCTATTATCTCTGATTCCTCACTCTTGCTTACATTTCTATCTATTATTTACTTAGTATCTAAATATCCTTACTGGCATCAAGATTTTATACTATCTATTATCCACACTGCAACTAACTGGTCTCCGGTCCGGTAATGTGATAATTCCTGGTATCCATAAATTCTACTGCCATGAAACAAATGTAATCATTCAAATCACGTGACATATAAACTCACAAACAACTGCCAACTGACTAGAGTTGAACAGTCTAGACCTCTATTAATTGGACACTAGCAAACACCTGAAACCGTGCCGGATAAACAAGAATCGAGCGCAAAGATAGCGACTGGTTTATACTCACTCGTAAAAGGATGTTGGATATTGAGCTCGTGAAAAAGATATTGGGGATCTTTAGGTCGTTACGTAGCGCGTGGATTGTGTATGATGGCTACAGCGGTGTCTGTGGCTGTAGAACGCAAAAAAATGCAAAAAGGTTCACTGAAAGAAAAGGTGCTTCAAGTGTATGATAAGTTGTTCCAAGGACAAGACATAACACAGGGCAGAGCGGAATTTTGGGACGATTTTTTTCTACTGAAAGTAAATGTACTTTTCGTGTGACTTATGTTTAGCCAAATCTTAAATGCTTGTCTGCACACTTCGAGAAAACAACTATTGAAGATCTGATCAGGCTTAAGGTACGTCGCTTTGTTTGCTTTACTCTGTGACGCTCTCATTTTTGACTATTTTACTTGATAACCACATTACTGCGAAACCCCTCATCTATCTAGTGTGACACTACTCTCGTGGGTAAGGTATAGTTAACTGCTATAAGGCACTCCTTATTCCTGTTTGGTAACGTTCTTATTGGTTATGGCTTTTATGGCTTGTTTTCATATTCATATAATCGATTTCAGAAAATACTAAAGTATTCTAATAACTGTAAAACTCAATCATATTCGTGCTGCGTTAGATGGCGGTTAAGCAGGTAAAAAGACATTGTAATGATAGAGCATTAAATTGTCAGCTTTGCGTGCTATTTTATGCTCATTTTCCATGTATCTTTAGGATGCATCGAGTTAGTTTTTAGGGTTTCTGCAAACCATTATTTTATTATACGTCTGCTTAATGCACATTTCTGCGGCTATTGATGGCATGTTATTAGAATAGCCTATCATTGTCTTCAGTCAGAGCATTACTTGTGATAGTGTCTGAAAGACAGAATTCTTGACCTATTGATTTAAATGGATGGCAGATATTGCTACTGTATTTACAGGCGTTTGAATGGCATACTATATTCCAAGATAAATTTCTCCAAACGCTTAGCTGATTCATTCTTGCATACATTTGTAATATGTATAAAGGGTTCCCCTGTTATTTTTATACGTTCAGTAAAAGAATTAGAGATGCATGTTCTTACTAAAACGCGATCAGAGTCTGATCATGTCCTCCAATACTAGTAGGATTCTTCTACCCAGCCTCTCAAGTGATAGCTGATTGATAAATGGTCAGTTTTGTCCGTCGTTGTGCCAATGTCTGGGGCAGCAACAAATAATGTACAACAGCATGTCACTATCTTGAGTTCATACTTGGAATTGCTTCCGGTTGTTTCATTTTACCTCTAAAAATTTATGCTTCCCTCATAATCCCGACCTGCCTCAACATCATTTTATAAATTCCTTTGGAAACTCAGAAAATCTGTGTTCTTGTTGATTAGTTTTATGCGTGTCTGAAATGTCTTTGCAGCGTCCTGATTTAAAAAATCCGGGAACAAGTTAAAGCTTTTGATTCGGCGTTAAAGATAACTATGTTTGATATGATCTCTTTTTATATGATTGGTTCATATTTTAAATAAGTTGTTTTTTATTTATTAGCCTCAGCTCAACAGACTGTTTATACAGTGCCTCCAAACAGCTCAGTATGATGGACATCGTATCCGTATCGCCAACGCTATTCAGACATTGGATTGTTTACTGAGTGGCGTTCACAAATGCAGATCACCAAATGTAAATGAGGAACTAAGTGCAATACTTTTAGGACCAGAGCATGTCAAAGATTTTATGGAGGTTAGTCGATCAAATCCACCAACCCAAAACCCTTTTGTGATTCTCTATAAATTAGAAAAATTAATGTCATCTGATGATTATTAGAATGTCAAACACATAACAGTCCGTTTTTTAGGATCTGCTTAGTAAATATTGAATGGCTAAATCAGTAGCTAATTATCTTACTTCAAATATATATATATATATTGTTCTAATATTGGTAATGGGAATTTTTTAATGTTTTTATTTTTATTGTATAATTAAAAGCCTCTTGAAATGTTTCATTTTTCCATTCTCCAGAAATAGCCGTCATATGTCCGATTGTTCTGGATTTATCATCAGTTAACCACTCCTTAAGCACTCATAAGTAGAAAAAAGCATGACGGTAACAAAGCCTCAATGAAAAATGTTTGTCCTTAATGTTCAATGTGGACATTCAGTGATGTTTGTTAGGGCACAAAGGCTATATTGGTGTTACCACCTTGAAATATAAGCTTCGGTTGTTTGGTCATGTTTCATAGATTGCAAGCCAGCGACTTGCACATAAAACAGTGTTCAATGATTCTGAGACTGGGTAAATAAAGCAAAGAGACAACTCGTGTTGTGAATGGTAGCTTTATGCAACTTGTATATGTTGGTCCATGACGATTCTTCTTTCGGAGTCTTTGAGGTCGCACAACCCAACGGCTTGTGATATTACCACACATGGCTCAGAATAGTTTAGTTTATTAAGGATTTCTAACTGCCTGACTAGCTTTTGAACCTTGTATTTTTTTCAACTGTCATTTCATCCTTTTTTGTTTCCCATACCCATGCTTTCATATTCATTGCATATAAACAAACTGCTTTGTGTAACGTGAGTGATTCCAATAACTTTATCATTTTTCTACGAATCTATCATTTGCAGAACTATATTTCTCTGTGCGTCGCACTAGTTCGGGAAGATACAGCAGAATTACTTCGTAGTCTTATATTCAACTCAATGCTGACATTTGCTTCAGTAAGTCGAACTTATTTACATTCTACAAGTATAGAATCACTTTTATGTTCATATATGTGGACACTTAATGTTTCTTTTTAATTGAGCTGATCTAATATCTACAGGTGATAGGAAAAACCCAATTAATTGAAATCTAATTTCCATAGATAACATCACGCTAGTCAAAGCAGCTATTAAAAACCAGGGAGCACTGGATAATCTGTTTCGTTCGATTATAGAACTCCTCAGCGTTGAGCATTTTCTATCCTGTCACAGATCGAACTGTAAGACCTTCAATCTCACTGCTAACACTTAACATCCAGACCACCAAGCAAACATTTAATGATGTACATGTTTAGGCTTTAACTAATGCATGATATTGCACGACCATCTTTCATTGCTTTCACTGGATAATCGTCTCATATCCGACATGATTGAACTTTACTAGTTATTGCTTCACACTTGAACTCTTAGAATTAATTAGTTACTAGTGAGTACGTGATTATTATTACCATAAGAAGATTGTTAAATTAAGATCAATACTTGATGTATTCTATGGAAATTTAACAATCTTTACAAATTTCATAGAGTAACAAACTAAATTTGTTCGTTAGCTAACATAATTGATCAACTCATGAATTTCATATGCGTTTTAATAATAGTAGTTCAATGTGTTTAGGTTTATTTTAACGTGTTTGAAAATACTCAGCTAATCATTGTTAGACCGCCATTAGAAACCTGGAAGCACTGGACGGCCGTTTCGTCCTAGTATGGGACTCCTCAGCAGTGCGCATCCACGACTCCTGCTCCTCGCAGGATTCGAACCCGGGACCTTTGGCATTGTAGGCGAACGCCTTACCATCCGACCACTGGGCCGGCATCCAACGGTGTTAATGTCTAACTCTGATTGATCTAGGGATTTTGCATGACCTCACCTCCAGGTTTCTAATGGTGGTCTAACAATGATTGATTGATGATTTCAAATGTGTAAAAACGCAAACCTCCAAAACTGTGCCCCAAAATACTCAGCTAACTGAATAATATACTTTATGATCATAGTTTTTATCATACAGCTCATTCCATTTTTTTTCATAGGTTACTTCATCCTTGAACAAAAATCCATTTGTTCCTATCCTGTTAGATGATCGTATTTATGACTTAATAATGAATACATTGATCAATCCTCAATTAAGATATTATCATGGTGTTACTGCATGCAGATTTCTTGGTCTACTATTACAATATAAAGAACCTGATGTAAGTTACGTAGTTATTTTTAATATGATGAACTAATAATCTTGAACATACTATTAAATCATTTCAATTGAACAACAGTAACAAAGTATTTGCAATTTTCCGATTTGTTTCGGACTTTTTTTCGCATTGAATGTCTTTTTAAGTAGTATTGTATAAAGTCTAAAAATATATTATTATTTTATTAAACATTACTTAGTATTTTTAATTTTTTTGCTCTTGCTCTCTTCATCATAACTACTTAAAACAAAAAAAAATCCAGCTCTTGTATGCTTTCTATGTATGATCAAGCAACTTGTTTCAATTCAATGTCAGTGTTTCAAGTATGGAATAGAGTGTATATGCGATGTTTAGGAAATGATAGTTTAGTGTTTGCAGCATTATGCTCTCAGTCAAGTGGTTACACGTTTACGCACCCACGTCCCCACTGAGAATCTTCCGGTCTAGCGGCAATCACTAAACGATGGAAGCTTCTCACGATAAGACTAAACAGGTGCCCAGTGTTTCCCTGTTTTTGAAAGTGCCCAGACTAGATTTAAACTGTAAGGAGCAAATTAACCAAAGCTCTATAAAGTCCGTCCAAGTATCAGCAGGTCAGTCCAGTCGATACATAAATGAAATCGACAGATAAAACAACGATTTTTTTTTCTAGGTTGGGTTTCTTTAGCAAGGTTTCTTTTCACGAAATAAGATTGCTCACCCTACCCAACCCTTGTTTACCTGGACTAAGGACTGGTAGTAACCTTCTTAGAAGGGTTCCAGGCAGATAAAACTGTTGAGAACGTCAGATCCCCAGAACTCACTTGATAAAGGTCTTAATTTTGGATTTTATTCATTGGCTGATCAGTTGACCTTGGGATCACTTTTCCCACCAGGAAAATCCTTCGTTGTGATTGGCTGATGTGTTATATTTTAGTGTGCTATTTTTGTAACTCTCCCAAAGACACTTCTGTGATGTATGAATAAACGCGATTTATGTGCTTGAGACCATTGTGTTTGCTGGGTTGTTTGTATAATACAAGTTTTATGCTATATCAAGACTTTTTCGTCAGTTCCTTTGGGTCAACGGATCAGAGTAGCCTACCGTGTCACTGGTTCATTGTCTCGTTCTCGTTTATCGACCAAGGTGGACTTGTATTAGTTTCAAGCATATCAAGTGACTAGCATAACAAAAACAATCATGTCTTCATTTATTCGGTAGGTAGGCTACAGATATGTTGATAAATATTGTTGGACAGCACATAGATCCTAGACTTGATTCTCTCTCAATCTATATACCAGTTACGATGAAATCTAAACGTAACCCAACAAAAACATCCTACAGTCGTTTTTATTGAACATTTTTTTTATTTAAGTATTTGTTGTACACTATTTGACTGACATTTCATCACTATTATCTAGCGTATAATTCAGCTCTGTGGTTGTATTCTATCAAACCCTATTGTCTTAAATGTAATATTCGTGAATGAATATAGTTTATTTTCATTCAGACAATCTATTGTTGATACTTGTCGAATCTCTTTTTTTCATTATCAATTGGTTTAATAAAAGTCTGTATGGTTTATAAAGATATTTGTGTGACTTATTTATTACAGTATTATATAAATTTGTATGATTATCTGTTTATCCGAACATGAAAACTTTGTTTGATTTTAACTTTCTATCATCGTTGAATCTTAGTAAATATTTACAAAATAAATAGATATCTTATTAAATAAATGCATGTGAAATGACTTTTTTTTTGCTAAGAGTAACATGTAATGACGATCTTGAGCGATCTATCTGCCAGTTAAGGGACACTGACTAATTATGAAGCCATTCAAAGCGAAAAGCAATCAATTAGAAGTAGGATGATAATAGCTTTGATCTGAATAATTAACTTCCCCCCACATGTCGAATTATTCTTTGCAGTAAAAGAAGTTTAAATCGAGCTGGTGTTGGGGTGTTAGGGTTATCACTCCAGTTTTCGTCACTAGTTAATAGGTTCGGGTTAGGTATTAAGCGTAAGACTGTAGTTTTGAGTTGAGTTCATCACGAAATGACATCAGCTATTTGCCACTCTTCCGTTTACAAATTGAAAAATCTTCAAGTTGATATTTAGAGTATGAGTTAGGAAAAAAAAGTCATCTTACTTTATCAATAAACACTCTTGACTATATAAATCACAAGTACTTTGACTCACAATCTACCTTAAGAGTAGGCATGTTTTGGAATTCAGCTCAAGGATTATCTCAAATTCTCATTTTGGTTGCTTTGTAAAATTTTTTTTATTGATTCCAAACATTTTAAGTACAAAATATTGTCAATTTTTACTTTGTTGATAAAACTATAGAAGTTAACACTCTGTTTTAAATTTCGCGCAAAATACTTGGGTCAGTATCTTGATCCTGATCGATTTATTCAAGGCCGTCAGTTTGTTATACTTTTACCCATATTTTAAAAGTGATATGCTATCATGGTTATAAATAATTTTGATTAACAATAATTTTTTATCCAAATTTGGCTAACCAAACTGTTATTTGACACCTTTTATCCTAAAAAAAGCAATGCAAGTTACATTTTTATCAGAAATATCTCTGTTTAGTGTATAAATTATTGCAGCAGCTTTCATTTTACTTAGTATAATATTGTTATGTTCGTCACCAAGTATGCTTGAGGCTATTACGAGTTTACCTTTGTCGATAAACGCGAACAAGACAATCACCAACGTCCAGGTAGGCTACCTTGAATTATAAGCTGAAGTAAAAAGGCTTTGTAAGCGTAGAAAGTATATTCTACAAACGCCCAGCAATCACAGTACAATCAAGCATACAACTCTCGTTTATTTATCCATCATAGAAACGTCTTTGGGACAGTTAAGAAAATAGCACACTAAAATACACATCAGCCAATCACAGCCATGGATTTTCCTGGTGGGAATTGAAATCTCAAGGTCATCTGATCAGCCCATGCTGGCAAAACGTGAAAACCAAGATAAGGCATTATCAAGCGAATTTTGGGGATCTAACATCCCCAACATTCCTCCCCTTTTTAATAGCGTGTTCTCCTGGGGTCGACTTACAATTTTAACGCTAAATCTATTTTTACTAACATATATCAGCCTACATTTTAAGTTAACACCTAAAATTACTCATATCATAAATTTTATTTTTTTTACTTTCCTTATAGTCACTGAATTCATTTCAAGCATTAGTTCATCAGACAGAAGATGAACTTTTGTTAAATGTAAGTTCATTTATAATTAATCTAATGAGTAAAATTTACTATAAATTATATGTAAAAGGTGTTATGTACATTGAGACTATACGAAATGTTCAGCCGAATCAAGTGAATGATTTGCTTGATATCAACTTGATATCTTGTATCAATGACATGAATTATTGTAGAGTTATTGATTAGTGCTAATTATCCTTTACATAACCAGAATGAATGATAATTGAAAATCCCTTTGATGAACTTGCCTATTAGTTTACTTGATCTAATTGGCTCCACAAAAGGAGTTGAATTAAGTAAGTTCACATGGTAGAAGTGAATACAGGAATACTGTCTCTTTATTCCTAGTTCGAAGAACCGGTTGGTTGTAGTATAATGTGTATCGTTTAGTTAGAGTGAGTGCTGTCCGCATAATTATTTTTTATCCTACTTTACTGATAGTCAGTCAGTCAGTCAGTTGCAACGTAGAACTTCGTACGTAAGTACATCAGTTCATGTTGCCATACCACATCAGCACAGAGATATAATTGTCAATTCAAATCCAATAGTAGAAGAGGTAGTAAAGGTATTAGAAGTAGTCGGAGAGGTTAGGATTAGAAGATATTATTCACGAAGTATGATTCAATGAGATAAGTTTAGAAAGTCAAAACTAGAGGTGTTGAAGAATCCAGAAGATTAGGATTTGAGAGAACACAAAGAATAAATGCACTGGCGCCATTGCGAACGATTTTGAGCCATGTCATTCAAGGTCTCTAACCATCGATTATTATCATCTCGCGGACCCCAACCAGGTAGTCGACAATTACCACTCGTCAATGACTTCATGGATTTGTGCCATATTTTGGTTTGTCCGCCCCTAACTTTCTTCCAACCTATTCCTACACCACAAAACAAAGCTCGACGAGGCAGTCGGTGGTTCGGCATACGCAAGACATGTCCCAACCACCTCAACTGATGAAGTTTCACCACTTCATCGATTGATCTGCCATCCTTGCCTAGTACCCGTTTCCTAATAACAGCGTTGCTCACTCGGGTGTTGTTTATGAATTGTAATTTTCAGGCTACAACCATCTTAGGAACTATGATTTTGTCTGACTTTGTATACATGTTCATGCTAAGTTTACGAAACTTTTCTTCAATAGTATCATTTTAGATGTGTTGATGATAGTAGTGCAGTTTAGTTCAGTTCATGATTGATTTGAAGTTTATGAAAGTTATGTTATCTCCACACAACCTTTACACTGATATACTAATTATAAAATGATTCCAACATCGTTTGTTATTTGGCATCGACTTTATGTATTCAATTGTTGATCGATATATATATATATATATATATATATATATATATATATTGTAGATTTTGACCAATTTGGTCTCGCGTCCTGTTACAGGTATGAGGGCGGTTGTCACTTCCCGGCTGCCAACACCGTCGAAGGTTGTTTCTTGAGGGACCTGAAAAGGAAGATGGATTAGTGTTGGTGCGTGACCGCAGAGTCCAAGGGACAACTGCTTGAGGCCGGTCACGCACGGCCTTTTTATGAAAGGTATTTAGAGGATTAGCTCCGTTCTTAAAGGCCCTTAGTGGGCACCCTTACCCAAGGAGACGGAAATCCGTGAGGTAGGGGAGGTGTGACATTTTTAGGTCCGACCTTTTCTAACTCTTCCTTCCTTGTGAAAAGGCAGCATCGCTGCAGATGCTGGTTGTCCGAGGGAAACACCTTACTGCTGTTACACCCCTCTGCAGTCAGCAGTACGACTTCGCCCTCAGACCTTGGGTAGCTGCTTTTAGTCTCATCGTTCTCCAATCGACCTGCCTGGCATGGTAGGACCTGCAGGAACATATGTTCCAACCAGTATAGCTCGGTTGGGTCATCACGATAGGCAAGCCCGACCACCACATCAAGGTAGCAGCTACGGTCGGGAAGGCTCGATTGGCTTTTGCCAACCTGCGTCACTTATGGCTTAGGCGTGATATCCGTTCTCTAATCAAAGGACGAGTGTACTGTGCAGCAGTTCGCTCCGTTCTCCTATATGGCTGTGAAACATGGCCACTGAGAGTAGAAGATATTCGTAGGTTACTGGTTTTCGATCATAGGTGTCTTCGAAGCATTGCTTGTATATCGTGGGACACTCGAGTAAGCAATGCTGTCGTTAGGAAACGAGTACTAGGCAAGGATGGCAGATCAATCGATGAAGTGGTGAAACTTCGTCAGTTGAGGTGGTTGGGACATGTCTTGCGTATGCCGAACCACCGACTGCCTCGACGAACTTTGTTTTGTGGTGCAGGAGTAGGTTGAAAGAAAGTTAGGGGCGGCCAGACCAAAACATGGCACAAATCCATGAAGTCATTGACTAGTGGACTGAGCCATGTCGGTAATTGTCGACTACCTGGTTGGGGTCCGCGAGATGATAATAATCGATGGTTAGAGACCTTGAATGACATGGCTCAAAATCGTTCGCAATGGCGCCGGTGCATTTATTCTTTGTGTTCTCTCAAACGCTAATCTTCTGGATTCTTCAACACCTCTAGTTTCGACTCTCTAAACTTTTCTCACTGAATCATACTTCTTGAATAATATCTTCTAACCCTAACCTCTCCGATTACTTCTAATTCCCTTACTACCTCTACTACTACTGGATTTGAATTGACAATTATATCTCTGTGCTGATGTGGTATGGCAACATGAACTGATGTACTTACGTACGAAGTTCTACGTTGCATCTGACTGACTGACTGATATATTGTAGAACCATGATGAAGAACCAATTGACAAGATGCATCGCATACATAGTTCTCTTTGTTACCTTAATTTAGTAGTCAGGAAAATAATTTTGAGTCGAATAACACAAATTGATTTTCTTTCAGGAAGTTTGTATCATCTGTTTTTGCCCAACCTGTAATATTTAAAAATTACAAAGTTTGTTAAAGATACCTAAATAAATCACACAACATCGTAGTATTTACATGTTTGCTATAACGTTTATATGGTTACAAGAAATTGAAGCTAAATTCATATTTTGATTTATAAACATGACAAATTTTATAAACAATTAACTCTAACTTGACAAAACAAAAATAAGTTCCTAATTATGCGTTGATGTTGAAGAGATGTATTCTTTCGCCCAAGTCTGATCGATTCATAGTATCGAAAGTAATTGACTTAATAATATTAATGTGAAAATAATAATAATAATAATAATAATAATAATAATAATAACTAAATTCTATTGATTATTTTACTTTTAGAGTATACTATCTACAGTTGCTCTTGCATTATCTGAATTTAATTTGTGAGTTTAACATGTACATATTACTATTGAACACTTTTCATTTTTTTTAGATGTTGACTAGTGAATGTTGAAGATAATTTATGATTTATTTAATGATTTAAACATATAAACATTAGTACAACGGTGCATCAAAATGCATATATTCCTCCTAAATGAGTGAATTTCTGCATGATCTATGTCATTTCCTTGGTTAACCGAACCGATGCAAGTAGTTTTCTCTTAGGGGGGATCATTCCCTAAACCTTTGTCAAGGTTGGAATCATAGTTTTGTAACTCCTCTAAATGGTCTTATTTGAGCACTTCGAGAGTGAAAGGGAGACTCTTTCCACTCTTGGCCATTCCAGGGCCGATATAATGAGTACAAATTTGTGTACTACTCAGCTGTGAGCCAGTCATAAGGGCTGTTCAAGTAAATGTAAATGAATTATGATTTAGGTGTTTAATCTACCACTGATCCAAAGCGAATCCTTAGCTTGTACCCTTTTTCTAACATCAGCATCGCATACTGAGCGGTCCTAGAATACACGAGCAATATTTCGAAGACACATATGATCGAATACTAGTAACTTACGACTATCCTCTACTTTTACTGGTCATGTTTCACACCCGTATTGTAGGATGGAGTGAACTACTGCACAGTAAACTCGTCTTTTGGTTGGCAGATGGATATCTCGCCGATGCTACAAGTCTCAAGTTGGCAAACGCCAATCGAGCCTTCCATATCCGTGCTGAGGTTTCATCAGACACCAGGTCATCGGTACTGATGATACTCCTGATATGAGTGAAGCAGTCAACTTGCCCAATTACTCAACTCCCTATCACAAGTTCGGGGGAGAGTCACACCCAGAACATGCTTCTTTTGTTGCTTAAGGCGTTCAAAAGACTCAGCATTTCGTCAGCGTCTTCACCAAACTGAACCATGTCATCTGCATATTTCAAGTCAACAAGTGAATCTCCTGGTCAAAATCCAACTCCCGAAAAGTCAGACGATGAAAGCATCGTCTCTAAAAGTATGTCAGTGACAAAGCTAAGTAAGAACAGGGAAAGCAGATAACTCTGATGAACGCCATTTGAAGTAATCAATTCAGGTGACAGTTCGCAACAAACTCCAACTCGGCCAGTAGTATTCGAATAGAGAGTCTGTATAGGGTTGATTTACTTCTTTGGTACACCTTTCATTGACAGATTGCTACAAAATCTTACTGTCAGCAGGGTCGGACGCCGTCTTAAGGCCGAAGAATCCAACTTTTGTCGGGCTTCTAAATGTGTTCTAGGAGCTGACGAATAAGAATAACTGGTCTGTACATCCAGGTTCAGATCTGAAATCAGCTTGATTTTCTCGGGTCAGCTCTTCATGAGCACTAGTTAGGCTCAGAATTATTATGGAAGCAAATATTTTGGACACTTTATTAGTTAAACTGATTCCTCTGTGATTGTCACAAGAGGACTTTTGTCCTTTCTTATAGACTGGGACAATCAGTGATTGAGACTAGTCGGATAAGATTACACCCAGTTGCCTGATACTACCTAGGATCTCAGTCCATTTAACTGCTAAAAGTGAACAACCAACCTTAGTGCGGATCATACCTGATAAGTGAATTGGTTTGAACTAAATTCGTCATTTACTTGTATACTTTATTATTGCTTCCATTGACTCCTACAAAGGCATTTCTTCTCTTCACTTGACTTTAATCAAATTTTATTTTTCTAATTGATGAAAACAATTGAATCCTTGTGATCGAAATGTCTCAGGTCAATTTAATTAAATCTTTGACAGATTAACCTAATTATTTTTTTTTCGTACTAATTGCTTATTTTCATATCACACATTTGTTAATTTTTTCTACTTATCAATATATCACCTTAAGTTATTTTTACGTTATTACATTATGATTAGAACGATCATTGAAGATAAAATGATCCTAGTTTGAACACACTAGTAGTACTGTGGTGTGTCGGTTTACTGCGTGTTCTTAAGCTCGGCAATTAACTCGTCCAGACGATCGTCACTAAGTAGCGTCTGACCGTTTATAAATCAGAACATGAACTCGTAGTGATGAATAAGTTTATTCGGGACACACCACAAAGCGAAGCGGAATTGGTGAAGGCTAAAAGCCAACTCCAAGAAATAGAGTATGACGAAGAATATATAGTCATACAAAAATAAGACAGACATATGACAAGCGAAATAGGCATGCACAGACATGAATAAAAGCGACGAATGACTGACAAGGTCAAAAGCAAGCGATACAAATCATGTGAGTTCATGGGAATATTAGGAGATTAACATTAAAGCGAAAAGGATGCGTAAGCGCGTAGGCGTAAGCAATGCTCAGTCGTACAAGCTCATACAAACCAGATAATAAAAAATACCAATGGCACATATGAGTTGTTGCTATACAAATAGCTTGGTTACATAAGTTAATCGAAAGGTGTAATCAAATTAAGTATGAGCGAACTCAAGTTTATTTGGAGGCACTACAGTACAGTTAGACTCTATGCCGGTTTTTTAGAACTCATAATTCTTGTTACGTAAATATATACATAGTTCATTGATCGGATTATAATTGTTGTTTCCGCTGATATTGTTAATATTATTTTTATTATATATATTGATAATTCTTTGTATTATGTTGTAGAAAATTCGGACAACATCGTGACAATTCCGGTGGTATTCTATCTTCTTTTTCATCTTTTGTAAGCCAATATTTCGTTATTTTTTACTACTGTATTTGTATGTAAGTGTGTGTGTGTGTGTACAATTTTTATTTCAACGTATTTCATTTAATTTCTCTGGTTTATGAAGTTGTTTTAACAATGTGGTTCAATTAATCAGGCTACACTTTTCTGATTGTTGTTTGATCAAGCTGTTTAGTACACAGTTCAAGGTAATATAATAACTGTATAGTAAATACTATGTGCAATAATATTTGAAATAGGAAATCAGTTATGCTTTGACCACTATCGGTTTGCTCAATACCTAAGATTGATTAAAGTTAGACATTAACGCCATTGGATGCCGGCTCATTGGTCTACAGGTTATGTTCGCGCGCGAGATCGAGGGTTCTGAGTTCGATTGCCGCAAGCGGGTCTCGTGGATGCGCACTTCTGATGAGTCCCAAAACGGCCGTTCAGTGCTTCCAGGTTTCTAATGGTGATCTAACAATGATTCTTGATTTCAAATGAAAAACAATAACTTCCGTATCTGTGTAATGAATGAAATTATATTGAACCAAATTTTTTATCGCCCTCCATTTTCGATCTGTTCGTTCACTGATTCAAGTTTAATTTCTGGGAGAATAATGCATGTATAATCTTTATGTTGGAACTTGATATTTTAAGTTCGTAAAAAAATATATATGAGGGTTCGTATAAGGAATATAGTTAACCAATCAGGCAGTTAGTTATTTTCAATATAGAACTACTGGCATATGTGTACATCGGTTCAAATTGCCATACCGGATAAACACATCAAAATGAAATTATGTAGGCAAAATATAACAGTATTAATTGTGAATATATAACTATATATATATATATATATATATATATATATATATATATATATATATATATATATATATATATATATATATATATATATATATATATATATATATATACTTTTTCTCTCTGTATATTGTTAATTTAGTTCACTACTCTGGTCTCTGGTGATGTTGCGTCAATTATCAGTTTAAGGTAAGCAAAATGTTTTCATTCTTCTGTAAATTTACCTCTTGTCTATTGTATTTCAATAGTTTAGGCAATAGGAATGCCAAAAGTTCATGAATCGGCTTTGGAAAGTATCAATAAGTGACCTTACTGAATATCAGAATGTTACATTTTTACCATGTTATGTTTGACAGATAATTTTCAACGTATCATTAATCGTCAATTCTTCATACATTGATAATCAGTATAGCTAAGTGCTCACAAGCTTCGGCGTCGTAAAGTAGCCTGGCTTCACTAAACATAATAGCTTTATGTCATTGCGTCCGATTCAATGACAACTGTCTCATTCTAAAAAATTTCTTCCGATAATTCCTATCGTCTTCTATAATCAGTTCGCCATACTGTGTTAATTTTTCTAATCACCAGTTAGTTGTATATGTCTGAATCCCGACAGAATCAAATATTTCTTGTTTACAGCTTTTATCCAAAACACCACAATCAATGCAATCTTATTATTGTTTCATCAATTGAATTCACCCTCTTATTAAACAACCTTACTTTAAACCTCAGCATTATTCACTGGCAACTGGTTCCAATTCCATAGGCCATGTTTCGCAACCAAAGAACAATACAAAGTAGATAGCTGAATAGTTTCTCTTAGTTCTCTCTAGCTGAATGTCAACTTGTGACAAAGAATCTAATCTTACATCCAAAAAAAATCTACTATACTACTACTTTGGTGCGCGCTACTTATAAGTAGTATATGGCGCGAGTGAAAACGTAATGTCTGGCATCAAAAGATGGGGGAAGATCAAGAAAGGAAGTCAGTCAGTCAGTCAGTCAGTTGCAACGTGGAACTTCGTACGTATGTACATAAGTTCATGTTGCCATACCACATTATTAGCACAGAGACGCAAATGTCAAATCAAATCCCATAGTGATAAAGATGGTAGAGGTATTAATGTTATAATAAAGAAGACTAGGGTTTAAGATATTATTCAAAAAATATAATTCAGTGAGATAAGGTTAGAAAGACAAAGGTAGAAGTGCTGGCTAATCCAGAAGATTAGGATTTGAGAGAGCTCAAAGAGTGGATGCACCTGCGCCATTGCAAACGATTTTGAGCCATATCGTTCAAGGTCTCTAACCATTGATGACTTTCGTCTCGCGGACCCCAACCAGGTAGCCTACATCTACCAACATGACTCAGTCCACTTGTCAGTGACTTCATGGATTTCTGCCATGTTTTGGTCTGGCCGCCCCTAGCTTTCTTCCAACCTACTCCTACACCACAAAACATAGCTCGTCGAGGCAGTCGGTGGTTAGGCATACGTAACACATGTCCCAACCACCTCAACTGATGAAGTTTCACCACTTCATCGATTGATCTGCCATCCTTACCTAGTACTCGTTTCCTAACGACAGCATTGCTTACTCGGCCGTCCCACGGTATACGAGCAATCCTTCTTAAACATCTATGATCGAATACTAGTAACCTACGAACATCTTCTACTCTTAACGGCCATGTTTCACAGCCATATAAGAGAACGGAACGAACTGCTGCGCAGTACACCCGCCCTTTGGTTAGCGAACGGATATCACGCCTACGCCATAAGTGACGCAGGTTGGCAAAAGCCAATCGAGCTTTCTGTATCCGAGCTGAGATTTCGTCAGTCACCAGACCGTCAGCACTGATGAGACTCCCCAGATAAGTGAAGTGATCTACACGCTCGACTACTTCACTCCCTATCACTAGTTCAGGTGCCAATGCAACCCAGTCTTGAAGCAACATTTTGCATTTCGAGGGGGAAAACCGCATCCCGAACATGCTCGCATTGTTGCTTATGGTAGTCAGAAGACTCTGCATTTTGTCAGCGTCTTCACCGAATAGAACTATGTCATCGGCATATTCTAGATCAGTAAGCGACTTTCCTGGTAGAAGGTCAACCCCTGAAAAATCTGACGAGCTTAATGTTAACTCTAAGAGGATGTCTACGACAAAGTTGAACAAGAATGGAGAGAGTGGACATCCCTGACGGACACCACTTGATGTAGAGAATTCAGATGACAGTTCGCCATATGCTCTCACCCGACCAGTGGTGTTCGAGTAGAGTGCTTGTATAAGGTTAATGTACTTCTTTGGTACACCTTTCAATGACAGACACTGCCACAGAACCTCACGATCCACTGAGTCGAATGCCGCCTTAAGGTCCAGGAACACGACTATTGTCGGACGTCTAAATGTGTGTCTGTGTTCCAGGACCTGTCGTAGTGTGAAGATGTGGTCTATACAACCACGTCCAGGTCGAAAACCAGATTGGTTTTCTCGAGTCTGCTCTTCGCGAGCTCTAGTTAGACGTCTAAGTATAATCGAGGCTAACAATTTAGAAACTATATTAGTTAAACTTATTCCCCTGTGATTGTCACAAGAGGACTTCTGTCCTTTCTTGTAGATTGGGACAATTAGTGACTGAGACCAGTCAGATGGGATTACGTCCAGTTCCCAGATTCTACCTAGGATCTCGGTAAGTCTAACTGTTAAAACTGGACCACCATACTTAAACATCTCAGGGGTAAGCCTATCGGGACCTGCCGCTCTACCTCTCCTTAGATTTCCTATAGCTTTCTCAACTTCATGTAAACTGGGAGGACTTAAATCGATTTGCCATTCAGGATGACTGGAGATCGTGGGCAACCGAAGAGTGGCTGAAGGCCAGTTGAACTGATCCCTAAAGTGTTCTGCCCATCGGTCCAGCCTCCTAGATTGAGAATGGATAATAAGACCATCCTTTTCCGAGATAGTCTCACTTACATTCGGGTTCCTAATACCGGTTTCTTTGATAAGGCGGAAAAGTTGTCTGGTGTTGCCGATCGCCGCTGCCTTCTCCATCGCTTTTGCTTTCGCCACCCACCACTGTTCACGGTCGTTACGTAGGCTTTTTATAAGTCTGCGCCTAAGTTGAGTACGCTCTTCATCATGTTCAGAGCCAGGTGGGATGCGTTTTCGTGCATCCATCAGTTCGGTGGATGCGACTGAAATCCACGGCTTCATCCTAGCCTTATGGTTTACCTTGCTAGCAGATATCACTGCTGTTTCCACAGCCTTCTTTATATCATTCCAACCTGACTCCGGATGGGAATCACTTGCATGATCGCCCAACTGTTTTTCTAGTTCCTCCTGAAATACTTTCTTAGCTTGATTATCATCAAGTAAAGCCCTAAGAGGCTTCCTTACGGTGTCTTTCCTACGTCCAGCAAGCCTCAAACAAATACGTGCTCGCACTAGGGCATGATCTGAATCTAAACATGTGCCCCAGAACGAGCGACAGTCCTCTATCGAACCCCTCCATCGGTGGCTGATGGCGATATGATCTAGTTGTGTCCAACGTTGAGACGCCTTCGGGGGTCGCCAGGTCAAAAGGTGTTTTTCCTTATGCTTAAAATTAGTGTTTGCTAGAAATAGTTGGTTATCTGAGCATAGTTGCAACAGACGGTCGCCATTGTCTGTTCTTTGAGCCGCGAGACCGTAACATCCACCTAGGTGTCTTTCATTTTCACTTAGTCTACCTACTTGTGCATTGAAGTCACCAGCCATTATAACTATATCAGAGCGCTTAACTTTTTGGAGGAGGTCCGAAAGCTTTCTGTAAAACTCATCTTTTACATCATCTGGGCTGCAGTCAGTGGGGGCGTAGGCTGATATGACGAAGAGGCAACGGCGAGTGTCCCTATCTTTCCGAGTCCTTACTGTCCCGTTCAGTCGGACGGCGCACAAGCGACTATCTACAGGGATCCAGTCAAGGAGAGATTGTTCTGCCCTACAACTCAATGCAATACCTACACCGGCGAGGCCCCTAGAAGCAGCATCAGGGCTACCGGATACACGAAGGGTAAATCGAGCTGCTTCTTTATCTTGACATGGTGAGGTCAAATGAGTGATGCTACTCGGATCCTGTATGCGCGTTTCCGAGACGCAGCACACATCGATGGAACGAGATTCTAAAGTCCTAGCTAATGACGCCTGTTGCCCTATTTGACACAATGTCCGTACATTGAATGCTCCAACATGTAGTTTGGAACGGGGTTTAAGGAGACCAGGAACGACGTTTCGCAAACTCGCATCGTTTGCATTAGCTGTGCACTGTAATAAATGAATGTGAGAAGAGTTAGTTGTGGAGATAAGAGAGGTATTAGGGAATGTAGGAAGGATTTGATTTTGAACAATTTTGTCTCGTGTGCTGTTGCGGGTATGAGGGCGGTTATCACTTCCCGGCTGCCCACACCGTGGAAGGTTGTTTCTTGACGAACCTGAAAAGGAAGATGGATTAGTGTTGGTGCGTGACCGCAGAGTCCAAGGGACAACTGCTTCAGGCCGGTCACGCACGGCCTTTTTATGAGAGGTATTTAGAGGATTAGCTCCGTTCTTAAAGGCCCAGTGGGCACCCTTACCCAAGGAGACGGAAATCCGTGAGGTAGGGGAGGTGTGACATTTTTAGGGCCGACCTTTTCTAACCCTTCCTTCCTTGTGAGAAGGCAGCATCGCTGCAGATGCTGGTTGTCCGAGGGAAACACCTTACTGCTGTCACACCCCTCTGCAGTCAGCAGTACGACTTCGCCCTCAGACCTTGGGTAGCTGCTTTTAGTCTCATCGTTCTCTAATCGACCTGCCTGGCATGGTAGGACCTGCAGGAACATGTGTTCCAGCCAGTATAGCTCGGTTGGGTCATCACGATAGGCAAGCCCGACCACCACGTCAAGGTAGCAGCTTCGGTCGGGTCAAGAAAGGAAGAGTGGGAACACAATGGAATTTGTATGAAACGCATGAATAGTGAAATGTCAGACAATAGATTGATAATGGATTGAAGATTTGCAAATTAACGGTTACGATATAGTTTTACTATTTTACTGAGTAACTCTGTAATTTTCGTTAAATACAATTCGGTTGCCCTCACCTGTGTTCTCCTTCACTACACTACCACTACTACTCATCTGACTCTGAAAATAAATTTTCTAATTTTTTTAATTAATTTTGTTTATTTTTTATTTGATTTTCACCACTTTTTTTGTTTTGTTTTGTTTTGTATTGTTTTGTATTTTGTTCTCGATTCCCTCCTGTTTTTTTTTTCATCTCTTATTTCAGACCATGTGATTCACTTTTACTATGTCTTTATGAATTAGCTAGAAGTAGTCATCATTTTGCTATACTACTCTCTTATTCCAATGGTCATTATACAAATAATTCAAGAGATTTAGAAAGTGTCATTGTCCCAGATCCTATATTAGGTAAGTTGATTGTATTGGATATTTAGTGTATAAATGTGTGTGTGTGTGTGCGTGCATAGAGATTTTTTTTATTTCATTGCATTGTTTTCACGTCGGCGATATAGTAAGAACAATTAAATCTTCGGGGAAAAGGTCTCTTGTACATCATTCAACAAATGTATGTATTGTTGATGGGGATGTAGTAACAGTTGTGAGAAATCATTTATGACTGTTGATCGATAATAATAATAAGGCAGGAGTTTATCAACCCCAAAGTTCATTAATACTGTTACATGAGGTGTTGGTTAGTTCTTTTCTCTATAAATCTATGAGCCACATGAAATGTTGTAATCGTTTTCCTACTGTATTTAATGCATGGTTAAATTTTTTTTATTTATAAATAATTATATTTTAAGTAAGTGAGTAAACATGGCAAAAATCCATGAAGTCACTGACAAGTGGAGACTGAGTCATGTTGGTAGATGTAGGCTACGTGGTTGGGGGTCTGCGAGACGAAAGTCACCAATGGTTAGAGACCTTGAACGATATGGCTCAAAATCGTTTGCAATGGTGCAGGTGCATCCACTCTTTGTGTTCTCTCGAATTCTAATCTTCTTAATTCCTCATAATCTCTATCTTTCTCCTTCTAAATTTATCTCCCTGAATTATACTTCTCGAATCATATCTCCGCTCCCTTATCTTTTCCATTACTGCTAATACTTCTACTGTCGCTATCACTATTGGATTTGAACTGACAGTTGCGTCTCTTTGCTGATATAGTATGGTAACCTGAACTGATGTACTTACGTACGAGGTTCTGCGTTGTATCTGTCTCAATAAGTGAGTAATTCTCAGTCATAGGTCAGGTGTTAACTGTTGTAATTGATGTAGATCAGTAGTTAACGAACAAGATTTTGGATGTAGTCGCATTGTATATGTTATTCTCTGGATTATTTGCAGACACCATAATAAATTACAATTACCTGTAACTATATCAACTACCAATCGTTTCTATTGCGTATCATATTATCTATAAAAAAAGTTTCTATACTGTTTGCCACCTTCATTCCTATAAGAAGGCTTTCTTTCTCACTTACTCTATTACTACGTGACCATGTTTTACGATACTCATAGCATCAATAATGTAATTCATATAGCCATTCAAACAAAGGTTGGCACAGCATTGAATCTAAGATTTTTTTAAAATTGAAATTTGAATGATTGGACCGCTGAACCACCTCTCATCGCAGTACTAATACTTCATTAAATAAATAAATCTATATTATTATCTAGTAATTTACAGTTGAACATAGAATGTTAACATACTTTTATCTCTTGAATGCGTCTGAAGTAATGATCTAATTATTATTCAAATCCCAACACATCCACTTAATCATTCATTGTTAGATCACCATTATAAACCTGGAAACACTGGACCAAGGTCCTCGGTTCGAATCCTGCGAGGAGCAGGAGTCGTAGATGCGCACTGCTGATGAGTCTCATACCAGAACGAAACGGCCGTCCAGTGCTTCCAGGTTTCTAATGGTGGTCTAACAACAATGATTGATTGATGATTTCAAATGTGTAAAAAAAATGAACTAATCTCCAAAACTCTGCCCCAAAACATCCACTTAAACTCCTGTTTCACCAGTATCCTATGCTATGCTTCAAGTATATTTAGCTGATGAGGCTTAAATAGGGCTGAACATGTATCCTTGATTCTGTTGCCTGTTATGATCTAAAATTCTAACGAACTTAATGTCTCTTTTTCTTTTACGAATTTTTTTCATATTCACCATTCTATTCTATGAGTTTAAACAGAAAAGTCCTATTGTTGTTTCAGTAATGATAAAACAATTCAATGAATATTTGAATGACTCGTTGTATTAATTAATGTTCATGTTTAAAACAAGTATAAAATTTAGATTTGTGTAGATTATTCAATTTTCAATGTATATATCATTCATTGTATTTTTCATGATGTTTGTTCATTCTTTTAATTTTCTAATTGTTATTCTAATTGTCCTCGTTTCACTTTTTTTTCAATAATTTTCAAATTCTATTATAAACTGTAAATGAACTTTCTCATTCATTCTGTTTTCAATATATATATGTACATATTACGTTACTATGGTAATAAATTCATTTGAGGTTTAGAGAATCATTCAATTTCTGAAATAAATAAACTACACAGTAGTATACAACAACAACATATTGAATGTTTTCAGAAACGTTTTGTTTTATTTTTAAGATTATAATATTCAAAATATTGTTAAATTTATGCGTTCAACTTGGTTAAAAGTGTAATTGTGTGTAACAATGTTTAAATGCTTAGACCTGTGATAATTATTACCATGTATAGTGAGAATGTATGCACTGTTCACGTTGGGGATGTTAGATCCCCAAAATTCGCTTGATAAATGCCTTATTTTGGTTTTTACGTTTGCGAGCATGGGCTGATCAGTTGACCTTGAGATTTCAATTTCCACCAGGAAAATCCATGGCTGTGATTGGCTGATGTGTATTTTAGTGTGCTATTTTCTTAACTGTCTCAAGGACGTTTCTATGATGTATAAATAAACGAGAGTTGTATGCTTGATTGTACTGTGATTTCTGGGTGTTTGTAGAATATACTTTCTACGCTTACAAAGCCTTTTCACTTCAGCTTGGGATTCAAGGTAGCCTACCTGGACGCTGGTTTATTGTCTCGTTCGCGTTTATCGACTAAGGTGAACTCGTAATAGCCTCAAGCATACTTAATGACGAGCGTAACAGTTCAGTTGATTAGATTTTTGTCTTTTAATTTCAATCACACTTCGCATACACTTCTGTTTAAGGGATATAGACAGTTCCATTAAATCTGATTACAAAATGTTCGTCCCAAATATGTATACAAAAGAGAGTTATATTATTATTATTAAGATTTAGTCAATCAGCTTTAACCTAGAACTTCGTATGTACGTGCGTACGTACATCATTTCAAGTTGCCATATCGCATAGTGGTAGATGTAGTAGAAGTGTTAGCAGTAATCAGGAAAGATTAGAGTTCGAAGATAATATTCGAAGAGTATAATACCTCAGAACACTAATCTTATTATTGAAAATTTTCTATTTGCATAGAGTGACTAGTCAAACATTTCATCGTGTTGTGTTTATTCTTTGAAAGTCCAATCATTGTATTGTATCGCTTATTCCAACTACATTTACCGCAGTGATGTGTTAGTTTTGTAGAGAACTCTTCTTTTTTTTTTAAACTGTCAATTTTTATTATTTATAATGCTTTTTCATATGTTCCTATCATTGATTTTACAGATTATAGAATTTTAAAAGCTATCAGTACTGAATCTATGGTTGGTTATTTGGATCCAAATTTAATTTCACCTGGTAAAGCTGTTCCTGTATCTGCTACAACTACAACTACTTCTACTGGTGCTACTACGGCTACGACTACTACTACTATTACAACTACGAACAATAATCAGAATGGTGGTAGTAGTAGTAGTACTGATAGTCGATCTTCCAGTCCTCAAAGTTCATCATCTTTAAATCATTCAAATAAAAGTATCAATAATTATCGATTGAACACGAGGTTATCATTTAATAATGGACAATTGAATAATAATAATAATAATAATAATAACAATAATAATAATAATAGTAATTTCAATTTGGACATGGATTCATTGTATACACCATCATTGGAACCAAGAAATTTGCTGGCTGATTTGCTAGAATATTGTTCTGTTGTAATGCAAGATGTTAAAAGTAAGTAGTAATAGTAATCTTTTTTTAACATATTGGTCAGTCAGTCAGTTGCAACGTAGAACTTCTTACGTCTATGTACATAAGTTCATGTTGCCATACCACCACATTAGCACAGAGACGCAAATGTCAAATCAAATCCCATAGTGATAAAGATAGTAGAGGTATTAACGGTAATGAAGAAGACTAAGGTTTGAAGATATTATTTAAGAAGAACAATTCAGTGAGATAAGGTTAGAAAGACAAAGGTACAGGTGCGGACGAATCCAGAGGATTAGGGTTTGAGAGAACTGAAAGAATGGACGCACCTGCGCCATTGCAAACGATTTTGAGCCATGTCGTTCAAGTTCTCAAACCATTTGTGACTTTCGTCTCGCGGACCCCAACTAGGTAGTCTACATCTACCAACATGACTCAGTCCACTAGTCAGTGACTTCATGGATTTGTGCCATGTTTTGGTTTGGCCGCCCCTAACTTTCTTCCAACCTACTCCTACACCACAAAACATAGCTCGTCGAGGTAGTCGGTGGTTGGAGCTAATCAATGTGGCTTTCATGCTAGTTTGGCACTTGTCAGTGTAAGGCTTATCGTTAATCTTTGAAGAACAACTGGTGGTGATTCCTGTGGAATTCAAACACTATATTATTCAGCGTCACAGTCTACGACATTAATACTTAGCTATTAGAGAATAGTTCACGTGTGCTCCAGTCATTCAAACTAAGGGCTGTCTTACGATAGAATACGAATAACACTGGTCATTTATCAGTGATTAATTAATGGTAAATCGCTTATATATTTATTTCATTTCGTTGAATACAATGCTACAGTTTCAAGAATGAATGAAAGTTCTGTGCTACAAATATCCCATTATACATATATGTATTTCAACAAAGATATATTCTGAATAGTTTTTCATATCTCCGTGTTAGTGGAACATAGATGGAATTAAAGCATGACTACGTTGCTGCGCGCTGATTGGCTAATTTCCTATCCAATCAGCGCCTGATCGATCCTTGGAGAACAGGGTAGAAAATTCTCGTGTTGTTAGCTGTACTCTGATTGGCTAAACTTAATCCAGTCGATCACATGAATTACAATCCAGAAGCTTCTCATGTAAATGCTATAAAGAATCTAACGTTGTATCTATTTCACCTTCGGCTTCGGCTCCTTATTTCCACTTAACCTTGCTATTTGGGATATAATTTTTTCGTATTCCACCGTGTTTTTGATTCTTTGGAACTTGTCCAGTGTATTATGGTCAAAGAGTACTAAGCAATAGGAATTAGCCGGAAATTGTTCAAGCAAGCGTTACAACACTCCGAGTCGTCAATAATAAATAAATAATCTTTAGATGATCGTTTCCTCTAAAAAAAATCCAATAAATTTGTAAGAAGAATTCACCAATCTCTAGAGAATTAATAGAATAACGAAAAACTGAACGCTTTTTCACATTCAGCCCACAATAAAAAGTAGACTTGTTAGCTAATAAATGATATATGTACATGTATAAAATTGGTGAAATACGAAAGTGTATTAAATATTTTCATTATGAGGTTATGAAGATTCTTGAGTTTGATTGAAATCATGAACCAATCAGTGTTAGAACGCCATTAGAAACCTGGAACCACTAAACGGTGGTTTTGTCCTAGTAGTATGGGACTCATCAGCAGTATGCATTCACAACCTTCGCACGCGGGAATCGAACCCAGGATCTTCAGTCATTTTTTACTCATTGAATCAACATTAGAAAATAATAAACTATAAACTTAGAAATATAACTTACATTGTTTTCACACTTAGTGTAGAAATTAATGCTATCTCATCAATTGTTCTCTCTGTGAATTGATCGAAGTTGGACATTAACACCGTTAGATACCGGCTCAGAGGTTAGGCGTTCGCGCGCAAGACCGAATGTCCTGGTTTCGAATCCTGTGACGTGCAGGAGTCGTGGATGCGCACTACTGACGAGTCCCGTGCCAGGACGAAACGGTCGTTCAGTGCTTCCAGCTTTCTAGTGGTGGTGGTCTAACATCGATTGATTCATCATTTCAAATGTGTAACATATAAGTTGTGTTCCTCTTTTGAAAGTTATTGTCAACTAAAATATGTTTTGTGTAGTCTAAACGGAATCTGGCTAATAGTAGAGTATAAAACTGACGTTTCATTCTATTTAAGACTTTTTTTTGTATTTTTAACGATTTGTATATGCCCGTTGTTTGTTCTATAGACATATTATTGATTAGTCTTTTTTGTTGTTGGTGTATTTGTATCTGCCTTGTTATTGCTTCGTCTTCGATTCCACTGTTAACACTGTCCAACTTCAATAAAAGATGCCTCTTATTAACTATTTAATATGTTCTTAATTTTGAGATTGGCTGATGTATATACATAAGTCTAATCGATTTAAGCACTATCTGTGCAGATATTCATATTGAACAACATACATTGAAAATTTTGTCAACATGCCTTATGGTACATTTTAAAATTCTTTTACTTTTTCTTTTTTTAGCTCCGGAATCACTAAACAGTTGTCATCTTTGTTTAATTATTCTTTGCTGTATTACTCAGGTAAGATTACGTAACATGAACGAACTTACTAGCTTTTTACACTATATGACATACACTTAATCTTTATAAATGATCATCATCCTCGTGCGTACTAAATGGCATTGGAGTAGTATTGAAAATATCTAGGAGTGTGGTAAAAACTAGAGCGTACTGTTGTTAGCTTGTGAAATCGCTGACTGTTGATCTAATCCTTGTTTAATATGTACAGACTTTTGCTTGTGAGATCCATACGATGACATGTAAAACTAGCTGTAAAACAGTGTTTGACTTGAGTTAAATGTATGATTTACATCAATGTATAATCTCTTACTTTATTGTTTCACACTTTTATAGAATCAGTCTACTTAATCGATATCAATCAATCAATCGCAAAGTAGAACTTCGTACGTACGTACATCAGTTCATGTTGCCATACCACATTAGCACAGAGATGTAATGGTCAATTCAAATCCAATAGTAGTAGAAGTAGTAGAGGTATTATCAGTAGTCGGAGAAGTTAGGATTAGAATATATTAGTCAAGAAGTAGAATCTAGTGAAATAGACTTAAAAAGATAAAGTGATGAAGAATTAAAAAGTTTAGGATTTGAGAGAACACAAAGAATGGATGATGATGATTAATTCAGAAGGTTAGAGTTCCATAGAACACAAAGAGTATAGGTACCTGCGCCATTGCAAAAGGTTTTGAGCCATGTCATTCAGGGTCTCTAACCATCGATTACTAACATCTTACGGACCCTAACCAGGTAGTCGACACCTACCGACAGGGCTCAGTCCACTTGTTAGTGACTTCATGGATCTGTGCCGTGTTTTGGTCTGGCCACCCCTAGCTTTCGTCCAACCTGTTCCTATATCACAAAACATAGCTCGTCGAGGTAGTCGGTGGTTAGCAATGCTTCAAAGACACCAGTGATCGAAAACCAGTAACCTACAAATATCTTCTACTCTGACAGGCGATGTTTCGCATCCATATAGGAGAACGGAGCGAACCACTGCACAGTAAACTCCTCCTTTAGTCAGCAAACGAATATTTCGCCTACGCCATAAGTGACGCAGGTTGGCAAAAGCCAATCGAGCCTACTGTGTCCGAGCAGAGATTTCGTCAGTCACCAGGCTATCAGCACTGATGAGACTCCCAAGATAAGTGGAGCGGTCCATATGTTCGACTACTTCACTCCCTATCACTAGTTCAGTTGCCGATGGAACCCAATCTTGAAGCAACATTTCGCTGTCAACCTAGCTGCTAAAACTGCACTACCATCCATAGATATCTCAGGGGTCAATCTATCAGGACCCGCTGCTCGCCCTCGCTTCAAATTTCCGATAGTTTTCTCGACTTCATAAAGAGTCGGGGGACTTACGTCAATTTGCCATTCAGGGTAACTGGATATCGCGGGTAACCGAAGTGTGGCTGAATGCCAGTTGAACTGATCACTAAAGTGTTCTGCCCATCGGTCCAGTCTCCTGGATTGAGAATGGATAATAAGACCATCCTTTTCCGAGATAGTCTAACTCACATTCGGGTTCCTAATACCAGTTTTCTTGATGAGTCTGAATAGTTGCCTATCGCCTCTGCCTTTTCCATCGCTTTTGCTTTCGTCACCCACCACTGTTCGCAGTCGTTGCGTAGGCTTTTTGTCAGCCTGCGCCGAAGCTGACTTCGCTCTTCATCATGTTTAGAGCCAAGTGGGATAAGTTTTTTCAGCATCCATCAGTTCAGTAGATGCTACTGAGATCCACGGCTTCTTCCTAGCCTTATGCTTAAACTGACTAGCAGATATCACTGCTGTTTCCACAGCCTTTTTGATATCATTCCAAGCTGCCTCCGAATGGGAATCGCTTACATGGTTGCCTAACTCCCTTTCTAGTTGTTCCGGAGATATATTCTTAGCTTTATTATCATTAAGTAAAACCCTAAGAGGCCTCCTTACGGTGTCTTTCCTACGCTTAGTAAGCCTCAAACAAATACGCACTCGCACTGGAGCATGATCTGAATCTAAACATGTGCCGCAGAACGAGCAACAGTCTTCTATCGAACCCCTCCATCGGTGGCTAATGGCAATGTGATCTAGTTGGGTCCAACGTTGAGACGACTTCAAGTGTCGCCAGGTCAAAAGATATTTTTCCTTATGCTTAAAATTAGTGTTTGCTATAAATAGTTTGTTATCTGAGCACAGTTGCAACAGACGGTCGCCATTGTCTGTTATTTGAGCCGCGACACCATAACATCCACTAAGATGTCTTTCCCGCTCACTTAGTCTACCTACTTGAGCATTAAAGTCACCAGCCATTATTACTACATCAGAGCGCCTAGCTTTTTGGAGGGGGTCCGAAAGCTTCCTGTGAAACTCATCTTTCACCTCGTCTGAACTGCAGTCCAATTTGACCGATTCGGTCTCATGTTATGTTACGGATATGATGGCGGTTGTCACTTCCTAGCTGCCCACACCGTGGAAGGTTGTTTCCGGAGGGACTTGAAAAAGAAGGTAGATTAGTGTCGGTCTTGGACCGCAGAGCCCAAGGGACAATTGTTTGAGGCCGGTCATGCACGGCCTTTTCATGAGCGGTTTTTTTCAGTATTAGCTCCGCTCTTGAAAGACCTTAGTGGGCACCCTTACCGACGGAGACGGGAATCCGTGAGGTAGGGTGAGGTGTGACATTTTTAGAGTCGACTTTTTCTAACCCTTCCGTGTGAGGAGGTAATATCGCTTCAGATGCTGGTTGTCCGAGGGAATCACCTTACTGCTGTCACTCTCCTCCGTAGTCAGCAGTGCGACTTCGCCCTCAGACTTTGAGTAGTTGCTTTTAGTCTCATCGTTCTCCAATCGACCTGCCTAGCATGGCACGACCTTCAGGAACATATGTTTCACTCAATATAGCTCGATTGGATCATCACGATGGGCAAGCTAGACCATCACGTCAAAGTAGTAGCTACGGTCGGGAATTAATCGATGTAAAAATGTACAAGCATCCATACACATGGTTTATTTTATTGAAATCAAATCTTTATAATATATTGTACACAATTAATTATAATCCATTTTTTTATGATTTATGTTTGAACTGTTTGTGTATATTACTTGAAATAGATCATAAATTATAACAATTTTCTGACAATAAAAAGAAATAACCTTGTCAATGATATTCTAAATGTGTGATACTACTAATGAAAATAATCATCACTCAGTTGGTGACTGACTAGCGATTGTTAGTAATATTTTTGAAAGTGTAAATCGTAGAAAAAAAACGTTACATGCTGAGTTACATGATTCTAGAAACAATACTGTCTATTAAATGGACTAATTTGGTTTACAGTTTCAAGCATAAAGATAAATAGATGCGAAATATTACATCATACCATGTAACTTTCAAGTTTTCATCAACATAATATAACTTTTGATGATCTCCAGAAATCCTTTTGATTTTGTAACTTATTTTTGGAAATTCAAATGCCTATTTTCCTGTCAAAAGTACCCATTATCTATCACCTTCATTTTGTTTGCCGATTCGATCGCTCAAAAGTCCTTGTAAATTATGCTGGCTTCGAACTTCTTGCTCTAGTTCACTGGGCTGAACCGCAAAGAATAGATTATCTGTCATGTTAATGTGTCACTGGTTTCCGTTTCATTCGCCGATATCAAGTCGTATCTTAGTTAGTGCAAGCATATAGCCATTATTACTTAAGTCACTTGTACTGCAAAAATATTGTTATCCTTCATAAAACAATGTCTGTGAATGGTTTTATAAGTAAACACGCGAATAATAGACTAATTCTTTCCTATTTTGTTACCTAATTCAAATGAATTTTTGTCTTTTGTCTTTTTGTAATTTCCCATAGAATCAATTGGCTTGTTCCTTGTTGTATGATATGCAAACCAGTTTTAAAGTTAGGATACATAAATCTGTGAGTTAATTGTTTTTTTTTCGCGTGTGATATCCACGTGTTGTTTTATTCTTTTGCTTTTGTTTGCAACTTCATCCGTATTGTAACGATTCCTTACAATACATGATTTGTGACCTATCATATTGAATCCAAGACGCTCATTTCGTCATATATGAGACTGATCAACATATGTGCTTGCATCTGAGTGTTCATGTTAACACTAGGGCTTTGGTTGATCTAGACTATAGGATTATGACCATGAAAATCAGTGTTCAACAATTCATTTACCGAATCAACCAACCCTGAAAATTGTTGGCACTCGAGCGTCCGACCTATACCGCACTGCCACTGTAAGCAGGCTCTATACTGAGTGACAGTAAGTTTCGCCTGGATCAGGCAGAGAGTAGCAACAAAGAGTAAGATGGACGCCTAGTAGTAAGTAGTAAGTCAAGTCTTCAGCCTATTCGGTGTGTTTGATGTTCATGTCGTTATAAATGGTTGAGAAGTGAATTCCGACCAATCTCTATTGGCATTAGTACATCCTGGACAGGGCCATCTCGATACAGATATTGTGTCACGAAGTGATCTAACTTGTTGAAGTTAAAACAGTGATTTAAAGACCCATGCATTAGGCTATCAACTACTAGTAGTAAGTCAGTCACACTTTCAAATCACAGTTTACCTCCTTTTTTATCTGACCACTTGTGGTTTTCCTACTAGCATTCAAACAGATTATGTCTTAAAGTATACGAATTTGTAAGCGGAAAATGAGTTAAGCAATTTTTTGAACCCTACTGTACTAACTGTCCAAATAATGTTTTTGTTAACGTTCCACAAAGAAAACTATTTTCATCTATACTATCAATCCAATAGTGTCTAGCTATTTTGTTTGTCATGTGTGCATATCGTGCACAAAATGTTTCCTTGTGTAGTATATATATTCATTTTTTTTCATTTCTCATTAGCGTACACGTAAATCTGATCCGAAAAACTACAATACATTTACAAGTCGTCCAATTGCTATGGTTATTTTAGGTTGGTTTTGGCATTTTCCCTGTTGTTTTGTCTTATACACATACTTATTAGCCTTAGATTGTTTTTGTTTTGATTTTTTTTCTTCATTTTATGATCCTTGTTGTTATTTTTTTTCTGGGCATCATCAAAATGGTCTAAGAATTGTCATGTTGTCTTTGCACAATTGAGGTCAATCGCCGTTTGTGGTGTTTGGTTCTTCTATTTGATGTTTGTGCTGATGATGTTGTTCAGTAGAAGAACAATGAAAGCTCCACGACCAAAACATCCAGCTCAGAGAACCAAACACCACCACTACAATCATCCACCTGAGCTACAAATCTTCTCCACCATCTCAATCGGTGTTTTCTGCAGTCATGATTTCGAAAAGATTAATGTAGCTGACTGTTAACTTATGATAGGTTATTGAAATATGTTACGCCTGCACGTAAACACGTCAACTTGATATACTTAAACTATTGCGAGTTTACCTAGTCAGAAAACGAGAGCGAGGATCCGACGACACGACATGCTACTCAAATCCGATTATCACAACCCCCAAATTTAGTAAAATAAGAAGACGTGATATGAAGTAGAACCTGTACTCTACAAGCATCCAGAAAGTACGAAGTCCGAATCCAGAAGAGAATCAGGATCCCGGACTAGGGACCTGGGACCGGGTCCTGGTCGTGGTCATAAAACGTTACATAAAATGCGTATTTATAGATTTTGGTCTAATGGGAAACAGCATCGAAGTCTGCGGTATTGACAGTTAAGACGACCAATAGGAAGTGACATTTGAAGTGACATTGATAGTCAGGACAACCAATAAGAAACAAAATTGGTTCACGTGACATTGATATCTAGGACGACCATGAAATTGACTAGTAGGAATTAGCCAGTAGGAATAGACCAATAATTCTTTTAGGATATTGGATGATTATCCTAACAAAATAGTGTTTCAATGTTCTATAATATTCCACTTTGTCCCAAGGCAGTAGAGCGTAAAACTTTGTATGAAAAGAAGTAATTACTTTTTATTTTTACTACTCATAATTATCGTAAAAACTGATCTCTAATCTAACATTTATCTTCAAAACTATGAATTGATGTAGTAAATATCAATTTGTTATTGATTAATTCAATTTGTTTTTGAGTAGTATATAGTTTCACAACCAAGTTAGTCAGTCAGTCAGGCAGTCAGTTACAACGTAGAACTTCGTATGTATATCAGTTCAGGTTGCAACACCACAATTAGCACAGAGACGGAATTTTCAGTTCAAATCCCATAGTGGTAAAGAGAGTAGAAAAATTATTGGTCATGGTGAAGATTAGGGTTCCGAGAAATGATTCAAGAAGTATAATTCAGTGAGATAAATTTAGAAAGGGGAAAGGTATAGGTGATGACGAATTCAGAAGATTGGAATTCCATAGTCGACAACGAGTGAATGCACCTAGGCCATTGTGAACGATTTTGAGCCATGTCGTTTGAGGTCTCTAACTGTCGGGTACTACTATCGTCTCGCAGACCCGAACCAGGTAGTCTAAATCTACCAACATGACTCAGTCCACTGTTAACGAGTCCTATGTTGGGACAAATCGGCCGTCTAGTGCTTCTAGGTTTCTAATGATAGTTTAGCTTAGATCGATTTATGATTTTAACTTAGTATCGTATCATAAGCTTATTTCACAGTATGTTTTCCGGTTTTACTGCATTTAAATATATATTTATTTATTTCTTCAATTTAGACTTAATGATAGAATTCGCTCATGGACATTTGATGAAGAAACTTCCGCATCGTTTATACAGGTATGTGAATTTTGTAGTTTAAAATGAAGATTTAGAAACGATCATATTTTTGTTGATAAATTAATTTCAGCTGAAAAACTAATGAATATCAGGGAGTTTTGAACACTTTTCTTTAATGATAATATGAAACTCTTTAGCAGTTCTCAAGAGTACTTTTGTCACTAATCAAGCCTAGGGTTTGAACTGTTAATTGCATCTTTCTTTACTAACGTGGTATGGAAACTGAAACCTAAGTACGTTCGTACCGAATTTTATGTCCTAACTGACTCACTGATTTCATTAGGGACCAACACAGGACTCTTAAAGCACAGACTGTTAATCAAACGGTTTACGTGCTATTTTCAAAAAACATATAGTTTTCATTGTAGACTCTTGGAGATTATTAAGTTTCAGTAAAGTCGCGATTCGACCATTGTTATGTCACCATTAGAAAAAGACCTGGAAGCTCTGGACTGTCCCTTCGTCCTAGTATGGGACTCATGCTTAGTGTACATCCATGATGCATGCTCGCGGGAATCGAACCTAGAAATTTCGGTCTTGCACTTCGAGACATCCTAAGATTTAAAGCGATAAATTCATCAAAAACTTATTACATCCTATCAGTTATATTTGAAATCGTAAACGAAAAGATTTTCATGCTAGATAATGAATTAAACATTTTTATTCTATCAATGTATACACCTAGTTGGTATATAGATGTGTTTTTATCCAAATTGTCATTGTAAATCGGGTAAACAAGTTGAATGTTTATGAGTTGAACAGCGAAGCATTTGAGGCAATGTGGCAATAATAATAATAAGGATTGGACATTGAAAAGGTGTTGCCATAACCGGTTCTTAGCCATGTCATCCAAGGTTTCCAACCACTAAGTACGTATATCATGTCCATCCATCCTAATCAGGACTGTTTTACATCTACTAACATGTCTCAATTCAACATAAAATAACTTGAACTGATGTTATGCTTTACTTTGGTCATGTCTAACTGTTCTTGTCAACGTGATATATCGGCAATCTTTGAATTGTAGATGCATCCTGTTTGAGTGTTGTAGCTAGCTATGCAAACACTGAGGTATATAGGTTATGATCAACCATCTGTATGTGTGATGTATTTTCACTCTATTTAACTTCTCAGTATTTTTGTAAATTACACCTCTATATGTATTTATTCTAGTATTGTCTATCTAATTTTTCATGATTTACAATTTTTAAGAGAGCAAGAACAAAAATTTAAAGGGAACTATGTGTATAAAGTTTATAATTTATTCTCTGTGAAAGATTAACTGCATTTTATAATCAATATGAATTTTCATAAATGAATTAATTATATGATTGAATGGTTGGCGACCTGCTTGAATATATGGGCTACCTATTTTCTGAATATCAAAATGTTTCAACAAGTTACCTCATGTTGTTTGTTACAACACGTCAATTATATATATATTAATCGCATAATCTGATCAGGTGCATGTATGAAGGCAGAAAAAAGTACAATCTGAGTTAGTTGACACAAGTCATTGAAAATAAAACTTGTTGAAACATTCATTTTTGAGAATTATATATTTTGTACTAAACGTGGAATTATAAATGAAAGCTATTATTATTACTATTTTAAATGCAACTGGTTAATTCATGCTGATTAATAATTCATATGATTTTTGGGTTGGTGGCAAAAATTTGTAGCTCAGGTGGATAATTATCATGGATTTTCAATCTCTGAGCTGGATGTTTTCGTTATGGAAGCTTTCAGTGTTCTTCTGAACCACATCATCAACGCAAACTTCAGGTAGAAGTGAAGTATTCGAATTTCTCCACTTATGACTAATAGCTTGCACTGTTGACCTCAATAATAACCAATCAAGATCTAGGTCAACAGTACAAGCTCCGAGTCATACGTGGAGAAATTTGAATACTTCACCTTTACCTGAAGTTTTTTCCTGATGATATTGTTCAAAAGAACAATGAAAGCTCCCACAACTATAACTTCCAGGTTGGATAACAAAACTTCACAATTATTAATGATTTATTATTTTTTTTTAAAAAAGACAATTTTCTTCCCTGTTATCTACCTAATCCTCGAATCTCTTAAATATCTATTTTTACACATTTGAAATAATGAATCAGTCATCGATAGACCACCATTAGAAACCTGGAAGCACTGGACGGATGTTTCGTCTTGGTATGGGACTCACCATCAGTGCACATCCACGACTCCTGTACTTCGCAGAGTTCGAACCTGGGACCTTCGGTCTTGTGCGTGAACGCCTAACCCCTGGATCACTGTGCCGGCATCCAGCGGTGTAAATGCCTAACTCTGGTTGATCTAAGGATTTTGCGCGACTTCAACCATTTGTCTTTGGTAGTTACTGCCTACACTCGACAGAGTTGAATCTCACTGGTCACGTCTTCTCACTAGAACTCTGATAGTTTCCTCCAGTGAGGTGCATGTGTCATGGATATGCACTGCTAGTGAGTCCCATACCAGAACGAAACGGCCATCCAGTGCTTCCAGGTTTCTAATGGCGGTCTATCAATGATTGGTCAATGATTTCAAATGTGTAAAAACAATAATCTTCATATCTCTCATCAAAAAAATCTACTTTTTTTTCTTTTTCAAACACTAGACTTTGTTTAATAATATGTCAAAATTTATTATGCTATCAGAAAGCGCATAAAATTCGTTTGGAATTCGATTGGAAATCATTATGGACAGGTTAGATAGATCATTGTTGTTGTTGCTATTGTCATCGTTTTTCTTTTCTCTTTGCATTTTTTTAATAATTCGTTTATTGCCTTTTTTGGTTGTACATTATTGAAATAAACAGTAACATCAAGCAAGACACAATTAAACTGTTCAACAGAATATGATAGGCTTTATCATGATAAATTTAACTGCTGTTACTAAAACTGTTATGTTCGTCACTAGGTACGCTTGAAGCTATTACGAGTTCACCTTAGTCGATAAACGTGAACGAGACAATTACCAGCGTCCAGGCAAGCTACTTTGAATCCCAAGCTGTAAAACAGAAGTCTTGGTAAGCGTAGAAAGTATATTCTACAAACACCCAGCAATCACAGTACAATCAAGCACACAAATCTCCTTTATTTATACATCATAGAAACGTCATTGGGACAGTTACGAAAATAGCACACTAAAATACACAGCAGCCACTCACATCCATGGATTTTCCTGGTGGGAAATAAAATTTCAAGGTCAACTGATCAGCCCATGCTGGCAAACATGAAATCCAAAATAAGGCATTTATCAAGCGAGTTTTGGGGATCTAACATTCCCAACAAAAACTTACTTAATGGCTAGAAATGTTGATTGATATCACATTCAATTCATCGATAGTATTAGTGAAAATAATATTCATCTCTTTATTTTTAAATAGTTTCTTGTCTTTTTGAATCACATTGTCTATTCCGGATCTTTTCCTACTGTATTATTATTATTACTGTTATAATGCTGGCATATAACTATTTGAAATCCTACCGATTGACCAAATTCAGATATTCCAATACGACCCCAAATACTGTTCCCAAATCTCCAAAATGTAGTAGAACACAACACCGTTAGATGAAATTGTTTACAGGGTCGAGTACAGAAGGAATGAAGGAATAAATAATAAGCTTTACAGATAATTCAATATTTATACAGGAAACAACATTGAAGTCATTGACATTGACTGTTAGGGTGACCATAATATTAACCAGTAGGAATTGACCAATAGAATTAGACTTCCATAAATAATTTTTTCAGGATATTTGATGAATATCCTAACAATCATTGATACTGAGAAGACTGAGGCAGGCAAGGAAGATTGTATTATGCAAATTTACACTCTGAGTTAATTAAAAACGAAAACATTACATTGAATACTCTATTCGCACACCATCTTTTAGTCGTGACTTCCAACGCTCCATCCTTCTTCTTCCATTCCTGTTGTTGCTTCCTTTCCTTCCTGTTGGTACTCCATTTACTTCTTGCTTTTGCTCCATTTGCTTTCCGTTTTTCTCTTCTGACTGTGAGACTTTTTCTTTCACGTCCCTTCTTATACTACTTATATCGTTTGTATAAGTAACACACACCACAATACTACTGCTTGGTAATGTAGTGCTGTCACTTGAATCGATTTACATTTCTATCTATTTATGTGTCTGTCGGCCTTTTTTATCAATTTGAAGAATACAACAATATAAGTATTGTTTTGATTGGAATATTCAACATTGAACAATGTGATCAATTACTGAATCTGATGTTTTTCATCTGTATTGATCAATTGGCGTTGTGTTTTTTTGTCCTCATATCAATTTTATAGTGTATATTGTTTTTGATCATGTTAAATTGTTTCAAAGTTCATTGTTACGGTAACAGTTGATATTTCATAAGAAACCTGTACAATGATCTGTATTGTATCTCTAATACCTTTGGATGTATATTCATAGTGTTAGGACATTCGTCAAATATCGTAAGAGAATTATTTTTGTAAGTCTAATTCTATTGGTCAATTCCTATTGGTCAATATAATGGTCGTCCTAACTATCAATGTCACCTCAGCTGTTGTTTCCTGTCGGTCGTCTTAACCTATTCGACCTAAGTGTATAAATATGCTTTATCTGTAACATTTTATGACCTGGACCCGAATCCCCAGTCCGGGATCCTAATTCTCTTCTGGACTCGGACCTCGTACTTTCTGGATTCTTGTAGAATACATGTTCTACTTCATATCAAATCTCCTTCTTTTACTCATTTGGGGGGGGGGTTTGAAACAATAGGATTAGACTAGCCTGTCGTGTCGCCGGATCCTCGCTCTCATTTACTGACTAACGTAAACTCGTAATAGTTCAAGCCTATCAAATGACGTGTTGACATGCATACGTAACACATAGCCACTGGTAGAAATGTGCTGCTGCTCATAAACTATTAATAATCTATCATTTCACTGTACAATAAAAATGTATCATTTAAATCTGATGAACAATGAATGTTCAGTCAATAATTGAAACATTCACCTTTACATTTTCTTTTCTCTTTTTTCTTTTCTTTTTGTTTACATTTCTAGTTATTTTAAGTTTACTCAAATTTGTCCTCAATTTAGATTTGACTAATTTACAATTGATTGATGCTTTGAAATTAATGGAAAAGGTATGTGTTGATATTTATCTAGTTATTGGATTTTAATTATTGATTAAAAAACTGTGCTATTACTGATTAAGCGATTGTCAGTATTTACCACTGTTTATTATGATTATTATAATTATTATTATTGAATGAGAAGTTTATTTTTGTAAAATGTTACTTTTATGAAAATTATTCACTAGTTGTTAATGAATAATAGTTGTATATATATATGATGAATTGATGACAGAGGAAGGGGTATATAAGAATGTTTCAAGTTTGCTTAGGACTCTGTTATAATGCTGCTACGTATAGCTAGCTATTCAGTCCTATCGGCGTCCAAATTCAAATATCCCAATACAACCCAAATACTATTCCTAATTCTCCTTCCTATATATCAGAACGCAACACCGTTGGATGGAGTTATTTATTGGGTCGAGTACAGAAGAGATGTAGGCAGGAAGGAACAGAATCGGAATCATGAAGGCTTACAGATAGTGCGTATTTATACATTTAGGTCGAATAGGAAAGAGCATCAAAGTCTGTGACATTGACAGTTTAGGACGACCAATAGGAAAGAACATTTGAAATGACAATGACAGTCCGGATGACCAATGAGAGACAACATTGAAGTGTTTGACTTTGACAATTAAAACGATCATAATTTCGACCAATAGAAATCGACCAATAGGATTATACTTCCAAAAATAGTACTCTTAGGATATTTGCTGAATATCCTAACAGACTCTCACAGCAGTACATGCTTGTTATGTATGAGGTTGGAAAATTTCTAGATTTTTTCAGCTGCTGTTTTTTACTTTGCGTGTTTAATGTTGAGGAGTTCCATAGGGAAATGAAACCGATTTATTCGGTCCTGTTTGCTTAACTAAGGTCAGTCCTTCGTATAAAGTATCGTTAAATATAAGATAATGTGTAACAATTGTTGAATGTAAAGAAAATGTCATCTTCCTTCTTGTATAACTTACTTTTACTGGAGAATGATAATAATAATGTCATGTAAAGGTTTCCTAAGCAATGAATTAGACACTGCATGCTGTATTAATGTTCTTGAAATCTTAAGTAAAATGACTTTTTTTAATTCTTCCAAATTTCTACTTATGGTTTAGCTATGTTAGTCGGTCATTCAGTTACAACGGAGAACGTGGTATGTACTTACATCGGTTCACGTTGCCATACCATATCAACAATGGTCAATTCTAGTCCCATTGAGTAGTAGAAGTAGTAGTAGGATTAGCAGTTATCGAAAAGATTAGGGTTGGCAGGAATGATTCAGTGATTTAATCTGTCGATATTCTGGAATCTCGATAGCTCTACCACCATACCAGTAATAAACTTGTACTATTTAGGCACTGGCTTCAGAATGTGATTGATTCCTGAAGCTCTAATGAGAAGTTGTGACCAATGGAGTTCTTATCTTATCGAGTGTAAGAGAGTTACTTGCAATATGTCATATCAGAGAACATAATATTTAATGTTATTAAGAATGGATTAGTGGATTGAAAAATGTAACGTTGAAAAACAAAATCAATATTATTTACACAATAAATTGTGTCAACTGAGAGATATATAATGACATGGATTATTAATTAACATAGATCTTATCACGGATGTTAATATATCTGGCAAACTATGAATATGAGTTCGGTTAAAGAAATGTTGACATTTTCGCATTGACGAAGTTCTTAAAACGCTTGAGAATTTTTTTGAGGCTTAATATTTAAATAAATTATCAACTAATTCGTAGAGAACAGATCATTTGGAATGGAAAGTCAACATGACTACCAGACCTACTTAACCAACTGATCATATTACAATACGAAACATAGCCAACCGATATTACACTTGTGAAAGTAACCGAAAGGTCACTTCTTCACGAAGAAGCGTTAGTGATTTCCAGAATGACAATGGAAGCGCCATAATTAAACTATTCAACTCAGAAAAGATAGCATCATCGAGATGTCTATTTATTTTTTAAAGATAGAACTATGTATTCTGAATCATAATCATCAGGAATAATAATGTCATCTTTTCACTTTGTTGGGGATGTTAGATCCCCAAAATTCGCTTGATAATGCCGTATTTTGGTTTTCACGTTTCGCCAGCATGGGCTGATCAGATGACCTTGAGACTTCAATTCCTTCCAGCAAAATCAATGGCTGTGATTGGCTGCAGTGTATTTTAGTATGCTATTTTCTTAACTGTCTCAAGGACGTTCTTATGTTGTATAAATAAACGAGAGTTGTATGCTTGATTGTACTGTGATTGCTGGGTGTTTGTAGAATATACTTCCTACGCTTACAAAGCCTTCTATTCCGATTTTGGGTATTCAAGGTAGCCTCCCTGGAAGCTGGTAAAAGTCTCGTTCGCGTTTATCGACTAAGGTAAACTCGTAATAGCCTCAAGCATACTAAGTGACGAACTTATCAGTGGCGACGGTGTTTTTGGAAATATGGATCCTGCCAAACTTGAATTACTACTTGAGCAGCAGCTGAAACTGATGCAGATGTTGACAGACATGAAGATTTCCCCTTCCACGCAGCCCAGCTCACCTAATGCAACCACAGCTCCATCGGTCGACGGCATCGCAAATAGCATATCTGAATTTCATTATGATCCTGATGCAAATGTCACTTTTGACATGTGGTTCCGGCGTTATGAAGATTTATTTAAATTTGATTTCGCCAACCAAGATGATGCTTGGAAGGTTCGGCTGCTACTTCGAAAGTTGGGCGCAAGTGAGCTGGATACTTACTGTAATTTGATTCTGCCTTTGAACCCACGAGATTGTTCGTTTTCTGAGACTGTCCAGACTTTAAGCTAACACTTTGGAGACAACTCGTCACTATTTAATACTCGTTATCGATGTTTGAAGCTTATTATGAACGAAGATGATGATTTTCTTACGCACGTGGGCATCGTCAACCGTGAATGCGAACGCTTTCGGTTGAAGTCTTTGTCGGAAGACCAGTTCAAAGCCCTTATACTCATCTGCAGCCTCCAGTCGAGTAAGTTCAGTGACATTAGAACAAGGCTACTAAGTCGGTTGGAGCAAGATCCAAAGCTTACGCTTAATGATATGGCTCATGAGTACCAACGTCTCACTAACCTACAACGAGACTCGACTATAGTTCAGAGTGGTAGTTCAAGCCGATCTGAAATCCATTTGGTACAGCAGCCACCTAATCATTATAAGTCTGCCCGTGCTACACCCAGTTCACCCCGCTCCAATTCGGCCCAAAAACCCAAAATGAATCGACCTTCTGCTTGCTGGCACTGCGGTTCATGGCACTTTGTACGGAACTGCCCATTTAGGCAGCATAGATGCAGGAAGTGTAAAGTCATCGGTCATAAAGATGGCTTTTGCCTACAGAAAAAGCCAAAGCGATCCAGAAGTGCTCAGAAGCCTGTTCCTAGATCCAGTACCAATGCATTGAGCCTAATATCTTCCTGCCAAAGCTCATCACCAGGTGAGAGGAAATTTATTACTCTTAATATTAACGGTTATTTGTGTAGAATGCAAATAGATACTGCATCTGATGTCACTATCCTCTCACGCAAAAATTGGACCAAATTGGGTAGCCCAAGCCTGCAGCACACAACACAAAAGCCTCGTACAGCATGTGGTAATCATCTTCGTCTGTTAGGACAATTAGAATGTAAAGTTGCTTTCCGAGATTCGTCGTTTACTGGGGTATGCTATATAACACCAGCTGATCTAAATTTACTTGGTTTAGATTGGTTCGACCAGCTAAAATTGGCTGATGTCCCGCTAAATACCATATGCAACCTGGTATCACAACGACATGACCCAGAAGCGTATACGAAGAAGCTGATGACAGAGTTTTCAACCATTTTTGAACCTGGATTAGGTCGGTGCACTGCTATGAAAGCAACACTTCTGTTGAAACATGGGGCTAAGCCTGCTTTTCGTCCAAAGAGACCTGTACCGTATGCTACATTAGCAACAGTAGATGAAGAGCTGGATCGCCTTCAACGTCAAGGAGTTATTACTCCCGTTTCTTACTCCAGTTGGGCAGCACCTATAGTCGTTATCAAGAAGGCCAACGGCACGATACGTATATGTGCTGACTTCTCTACAGGTCTCAACGCAGCTCTAGAACAGCATCATTATCCTCTGCCAGTCCCAGCAGATCTGTTCACTATGCTGAATGGGGGAAAGTTCTTCGCAAAGCTTGACCTAGCTGATGCTTATTTGCAAGTGGAAGTCGATGAAGCATCTAAAGAGCTGCTTACTATCAACACTCATCGTGGTTTGTTCCAGTATAACCGTCTACCTTTTGGAGTTAAGACTGCCCTATCTATCTTCCAACAACTAATGGATACTATCCTGTCAGATATCTCAGGGGTTGCAGCTTATCTCGATGATATCTTGATTGTTGCGAAGACGTTAGAACAGCTACGGGAACGCACGACATTGGTACTACAACGCATCAGTGACAATGGTTTCCGGTTACGCCCAGAAAAATGCCAGTTTCTATTGCAGTCGGTAAAGTATTTGGGATTCATCTTTGATGCCGACGGTCGCAGACCTAATCCTGAGAACATCCGAGCTATAAAACTGATGCCCACTCCCACTAATGTTTCCGAATTACGATCTTTTCTCGGTTTGATCAGTTATTATTCAGCTTTTGTTCCCTCGATGCATGATATTCGCGCTCCATTGAATTGTCTACTGCAGAAGCATAGCACATGGAACTGGACTAAAGAGTGTGACGCGGCTTTTGGTAAACTGAAGTCTATAATTAGCTCGGAATTGTTATTAACACACTACGATCCATCCATGCCGATCATCGTAGCAGCAGACGCTTCAGCATATGGCCTAGGTGCTGTTATTTCACATCAATTTCCAGACGCGTCAGAAAAAGCCGTTATGCATGCATCCCGTACACTGACCCCAGCAGAAAAGAAGTATAGCCAGATAGAGAAGGAAGCTCTTGCCCTTGTGTTTGCTGTTCGCCGTCTCCATAAGTTTCTGTACGGTCGGAGATTCACGCTCCTCACAGATCACAAGCCTCTGTTAGCAATATTTGGTTCAAAGTCCGGCATTCCAGCCCATTCTGCAAATCGTCTTCAGCGATGGGCCTTGGTACTTTTGGGGTATGATTTCGAAATCCAATATCGACGTACTCTACAATTCGGTCAAGCAGACGCTTTGTCACGACTCATTAATGATCAAGTGGCGGCTGAGGAAAACATGGTGATCGCATCCCTGTCAGTAGAAGACCACGCAGAATGGGATCTGACAACCGCAGTTCGCGCATTACCGGTGTCTGCAACAGACATACAAAATGCTTCTGGAAACGACCCCATCATCAAGATGACGATGAAATATGTCACTAACGGTTGGCCGTCGAAAAAGTTTGAAGGTGACATGAAGCAACTGTATCAGCGGCGGGAGTCACTATGCATCGTCAACGATTGTCTGATGTTTGGTGAAAGAGTAGTGGTGCCAGAATCCCTTCGTGCAAAAGTGCTGAGACAGTTCCATCTTGGTCATCCTGGGATTAAACGAATGAAGTCCATAGCCAGGAGTTATGCATACTGGCCTCACATGGATCAACATGTCACAGCGTTGGTTGAAAAATGCATGCAGTGTCAGCAGGCGGCAAAGATGAATGCCAAAATTCCGCCGGTTTCATGGCCCAAACCTGAGCATCCTTGGTCCAGGATATATGTCGACTTCGCTGGCCCAATAAATGGAACTATGTATTTAATTGTCGTCGACGCCTTTTCTAAATGGCCGGAAATCAGCCCCGTTATGCCGCCCACTACAACTAAGACTATACAGCTCCTAACTGAAATTTTCTCACGAAATGGCATACCAGATGTGATCGTATCCGACAATGGCTCTCAATTCACCTCTTCCAAATTCCAGAATTTCTGTCAACGGCTAGCCATTAAACACTTACGCTCGCCACCATACCACCCGCAATCGAATGGGCAGGCGGAAAGGTTTGTGGATACGTTTAAAAGAGCACTGCTCAAGTCAAAAGGGGAGGGGACGCCAGCCGAAACGTTGCAAAATTTCTTGTACGTCTATCGGACAACACCAAATGAATTGTTACCGGAGCAAAAGTCCCCAGCTGAAATCCTGATGGGAAGAAGATTGAAAACGATCCACAGCCTGATGCATCCGACCAATGCACCCTCATCAGTAGAGACAAAGCAGCAAAGACAATCCGCTTACGAGGTGGGATGCCCTGTGTTTCTTCGCGACTACAGAACGAACCATGGTCCTTGGGTAGAAGCGAGAGTGGTCAGAAGGGTTGGTCGAGTTATGTACGAAGTAGAGGTAGGAGGTGATAAATGGTCACGTCATCGGAATCAGATACGCAGACGGCTAGCCCCAGATCGCCCATCAAGAGCAGAAAGCCTCCCCCTTGACATCTTGCTTGATACCTTCAACCTACCGAGAGCCCCGCCACGAGAAGAAACTCAGCAGCAAGCTGTTCTTCGTCCCCGAAGGTATCCTCTCAGACAGCGGCGAACAATAGTCAAGATGCAAGTCGACCCCAGGAAAACAAGCTATTAAAAAGGGGAGGAGTGTTGGGGATGTTAGATCCCCAAAATTCGCTTGATAATGCCGTATTTTGGTTTTCACGTTTCGCCAGCATGGGCTGATCAGATGACCTTGAGACTTCAATTCCTTCCAGCAAAATCAATGGCTGTGATTGGCTGCAGTGTATTTTAGTATGCTATTTTCTTAACTGTCTCAAGGACGTTCTTATGTTGTATAAATAAACGAGAGTTGTATGCTTGATTGATTGTACTGTGATTGCTGGGTGTTTGTAGAATATACTTCCTACGCTTACAAAGCCTTCTATTCCGATTTTGGGTATTCAAGGTAGCCTCCCTGGAAGCTGGTAAAAGTCTCGTTCGCGTTTATCGACTAAGGTAAACTCGTAATAGCCTCAAGCATACTAAGTGACGAACTTATCACACTTCGTATAGAAAATGCATTACTGAATTCTCTTTTAACTTGTACTTAACTTACTCGATGTTGACTGAATCACATTTCATCACTGGTCTAAAACGCATGGATTGTCTTCATCTTAGTGATTAAAATAACGCCTAACCATTGGACCACTGGTCCGGCTTCCAGCGGTGTTAATGTCCAACTGTGATTGATCTAGGGATTTTGCGCGGCTTCATCGTTGGATGCCGGCCCAGTGGTCTAATGGTTAGGCGTTCGCGCACAATATCGAAGATCCCGGGTTCGAATCCTGCGAGGAGCAGGAGTCGTGGATGCGCAATGTTGATGAGTCCCACACCAGGACGAGACGGCCTTCCAGTGCTTCCATGTTTCTAATGGTGCTCTAACAATGATTGGTTGATGATGTCAAATGTGTAAAAACACAAACCTCCAAAATTCTGCCCCAAAATAAGTTCTGTGTTAAGTGAATTGATATCTTAAAGTAATTGATATCGTAAATTACTTTATTATTTTTTAATTTCTATTTTCTTGTGTTTGTTTTATTCATTTAGTCATTGCAAATATTCAATTTTTTTATTCTTCATGGTGATAAATTTCTTCAATCACTTGATATTTATGATAATTTATACTACGAATTAATACGTATGCATTTACTTGTCGAAAATCTTTATGAATATTGTAAGTGTTATTATTTTGGTTTTGTGTAATTTATTATTTAATTATAGTGTTATTATACTCTTTTCAAACTAGTGTATCAGTTATATTGGTTTTCGAGTGGCTGCGTTCACAATTCAAAGTAGTAGGGCTCACCAATTCAAAAGAATGATCGAGTATGCACTCAAATAGATCGTCCCTTTTAACTTGCCGTATATCATTGTTAGGTGGACCTCATTTGTGTGACGATGTTGTTATTAAAAGTCCAGTAGGATTTTGTGGATGAATTTGTTTGATGCGATCGTTCACGACGCATACATACATGAGAATGAATACAAAGCGCAAAAGTGAAATGGAAAAGGCGATTGGGCCAACTCAATGCAATGGAGCTATGATTAAGCTTTTATATTCAGATAAAAATAAGTTAGATAAGTAATAAGTAAAGTAAGTATGCATTTACACACACACACACACTCAGATAATGACAACCAAGGATTTGAGTGAATAATAGACAAGATCGAAAGACGTGTGGAATAATAACTGGACACGGATGGATTAATTATTTTGTTCAAAGGCTAGTGCAAGCTATGTGGGCTTGACATATTACTACACACTTTGGGGTTTTTATTTTAAGAATAAGGTATCTGGAGATTGTTGGTGTCACAATTAAAAATTAGAAGAATTTACTTGATATGTGAATAAACATAAGTATAATGCCTGTAGAGGCATGAACTCTCCTCACATATGATCTCATTCTATTTAACTGTTGAATGTTAATTATAGATTTCATTATAAATTAAATAACCTTCTTACAATTTATTGTTTTATCTTATTTTTTTATTTGTTTCTCTCTCTCTCTCTCTTCATGGGTCAATTAGCTCTTCAACATTCAACTAGTACTACCATAGAAATTAAAGATGCTGCTTCTGGTGTTGTACTTCAATTGAGCACTCTACGGTATGTGTTATACAAATTATTTATAAATTTGTTTAGTTGTTAATTATTTCGTTCTTGATTATTATTATAGTTTTCTTAATTTATCATCCATCATGGCATTTAAATGAAAGGTTTTTTGAGTATTAACTCCGCTCTTAAAAGCCCTTAGTGGACACCCTTACCGCCATAGACGGAAATCCGTGAGGTAGGGGAGGTGTGACATTTTTAGGGTCGACCTTTTCTAACCCTTCCTTCCTTGTGAGAAGGCAGCATCGCTTCATATGCTGGTTGTCCGAGGGAAACACCTTACTGCTGCCACACCCCTCTGCAGTCAGCAGTACGACTTCGCCCTCAGACCTTGGGTAGCTGCTTTTAGTCTCATCGTTCTGCAATCGACCTGTAGTGTGCCCGATGGCTGCGTGTTCTTAAGCTCGATTTATAAATCAGAAGATAAACTCCAAGTATCGTATACATTTATTCGAGGCACACCACATACAGACCGAGCAGATACACTAGCGAGCGAATATGCGAATGGGCGAAGCGAATTGGAGAAGGCTAGTGAGCCAACTCTTTGGATTACAATGCGAGCGAATGAGTGAAGCGAATAGGAGAAGGCTGTTGAGCCAACTCGAAGAGATAGAGTATGACTAAGAATATATAGTCAGATAAGAATAAGACAGACATATGACAAGCGAAATAGATATGCACACACATGAATACAAGCGACGAATGATTGACAAGGTCAAAAGCAAGCGATACAAATCATGTGAGTTCATGGGAATATTACGAATTAACATTAAAGCGAAAAGGATGAGTAAGCACATAGGCGTAATCAATGCTCAGTCGTATAAGCTCATACAAAGCAGATAATAAAAAATACCAATGGTACATACAAGTTGTTGCTAAGCGAATGGCTTGGTTAAATAAATTAATCGAAAGGGCTTAAGCAAATTAAATGTAAGCGGATGAAAATAAATGTGGATGCACTACAGACCTGCCTGGCATGGTAGGACCTGCAGGAACATGTGTTCCAGCCAGTATAGCTCGGTTGGGTCATCACGATAGGCAATCTCGACCACCACGTCAAGGTAGCAGCTACGGTCGGTCACTGACAAGTAGACTGTGTCATGTCGGTAGATGTAGCCTATCTGGTTGGGGTTCACGAGACGAACGTCACCTATGCGTAGAGACCTTGAACGACATGGCTCACAATCGTTTGCAGTGGCGCAGGTGCATCCACTCTTTGTGTTCTATGAAATTCTAAGCTTCTGCGTTCCTCATAATCTCTACCTTTCTCCTTCTAAATTTATCTTACTGAATTATACTTCTTCAATAATATCTTCGCTCCCTAATCTTCTCCATTGCTGCTAATACTTCTATTATTGCTATCACTATTGGATTTGAACTGACATTTGCGTCTCTGTGCTGACTTGGTATGGCAACCTGAACTGACATACTTATGTATGAAGTTCTACGTGTATCTGTTTGTCTGTCTGTCTGTCTGCATATAAATGAATGCTTTCTTTTTATTCTGTTCAGATCAATTGTGAATCATTTCAATGCTAAAATTGCTTCATTCTCAACATTAAATAATGTGACTTCGCTTACGGAGAATCAAGTAAGTTCTTATTTACACATTATTATTATTATTATTATTATCGAAAATTGATAAAATAATATTAACCTCCTCATCTTTATAATTTATTAAGCTTGTTCTGACATGGTGTCCAAAATTTATTTGATACTGCTATGCAATCTTCCTACACACAAACCCCAATCGTCTGATTCAGTGAAAAAGAAAGTTTATTGGCTAACTGAATCAATATGTCTCTTTTTGACAAATTTGGATTGAACATTGAGAAGACTTAATTGATTTGAAAAATTTGATGTATTTGCGCGCTATACATATTTCGAACAATCTGGTCACATGCATAAAAAATGCCTTGACACAAACAAGTATATGTGTTACTAGATTTTTTCGAAATGTATATCGCAAATACATCGCATTTTTCAGATCAATTACGTCTTGTCACTGTTCTATCCTTATTCATTCTTATATATATATCTGTCTAACTTTTAGAGGATTAAGCTCCCGATAGTATATATCTCATATCCTAGTAATGTACTCTGTTTATTGTCCAACCATGTGCATTTATCATTTAATCGGTTTCTAATTGGTCCAATGTTTCAAACGGGGATCCTAATTGTTGCCTGTTATACTAAGTTGAATTTGGAAAAAACTAGTGTTTTCTTGTACTTTACAAACAGTTCAATGCGTCCAAGTTTACTAGTTATTATTTTCATACAGTAGAACAATAAACTACATACTTCATAGCAGCGTGCTTACCCTAATTATAATTGATTTTAGTTAACGATTAATTCGTAAATTTTTTATATTATTACTAAAAATGAATCATAGCTAAACAATTTTGTCGCTATGCTTAAGATCCAAAACAATATTGCACAGTTCTTCAGTTTTATCCAGTTCAAGCAATATTTAATCACTTTTAATCTATTTTTCTTAGATTCTTACTACTGTAATATCATTCAAACTCAATTAATTTATCATACATACTAGTCTTATATCTTTAATTCTCTTTGGATTTCCAATCAGTCGTGCAATGAACTGGTCATTAAGTAGTAAGAAATATCATATTTGTTCATTTCTTTAGTACTGGCCAAATTCTATCAACAAAGAGTTAAAGTGGCCACTAGTCTGAGAGACTCCCTATCGTATTTAACATGATCAAGTTTTCAGTAATTGAAGGTCACTGACAGGAATAGCTGAACCCAGGTGTTGTGCTAGTTGGCAATTTGCACTGGTTAATTTGAAGAAACTGATACTCTCTGGGAGATACTAACCAGCATCACCTAACTATTCAAACCAAAAGACGGATTCTATAGAAAGCATAAATTCCCTCAAGATGATTACACGTATGTGTTGCTGGTACATTCCAACTACCACAGAACCTAGATCCGGGTCTTCCTATCAATCACCTCCATGTTCCTAACAAAATAAATCTTCTTGGTAAATATCTGAATAATTTAAAGCTACACTTTATAAAAAACTATCATCAATAGTAGAACCATTGCAAATCGATATTAGTTATAAATGTCAATAGTGTGTATTTACGCATAATCTTATTTCAAGTACAGACTACTCCTACTACAACCTCCAGAACTCATTGTGTATTGTATTGTACTGAATTTCTAAATCATCGTTTTCCTAATGAATACAATTTTCAGGTGTATTCTACTATTTTTCACTAAAAAAAAAATAAATCAATCAGTTGTCGAAAACTCTTCTCTATTCTCTCAAAACAAACTGTCGCTTTTCTAAATTAATTACATATAAAAAGTTATTACTAAAAAAACAAATCTCAATAAGTCTGTATCACATGAATAAGATTAAAAATAATTACAATAATGAACTTTTCAAATTTGATCATCAAAATATCAGTTCATTAAATATTTACTTGTTTTTTTATTTTTAAAAAACTATTATTATTATTATTATCATTATTATTATTATTAGTATTAGTATTTCTATAGATACCATAATGGTTATGACAAAATGAAGTAGTCTGTTTCAATAAATCAATATCATGCATGTTTTTTATAGACTTAGTGTGTGTGGTGTTTCATAAAGACTCATTGCATGAGTTAATTACACATCAAGTGTATACATAGATTTTAACATTTTCTATTCAATGTGACCTCCCTCCTAATCAATTAGTATAAACGGATATATTTTTCAATCATGTTTATTTATTACATACACGTGTATCGGGTTGTCACAGACACTTAGACCTACCTATTTACTTACTTTCGCTTCTGTAGTGTATAAGGTTATGACTAAGAATAGATTATGTGAATTTGTAGATTACTACCAATATCATTTATTCATACTACTCATAAGTCCCATTGTGAGTAATATCCACTGCACTCAGAAAAAAAACAGGGAGTAAACAATCAAATAATGGCGTCATTCTAATGTGTCAGTCTTTACCGACTTCAGTCTAATATCTACTTTATCATTTCTATCCACTTGTAGACTAAACTAGTTTGTGTGTACTTTTACTTGGGCAATGGAAGTCAATAATCAATAATAATAATAACCACCTGTTAGCTAAAGCGGCATTGTAATTCACTTTTGTACAATTTGTCTAGAAATAAAAAACCTTAAACTTTTCTAATATAAATAATCCTCTTTACTAATCAATATCTCATGTTGAAAAATAAAGTGACTGCAATAATGCAAATAATCTTGAATGAATCTCATAATTTCAAGGTAAACACTTATATTTATATGTATATTTATAATCGAATTCTACTTTTACTTTTGGGCAAATTGTATTACAAATTGAAATAACATGTATTAACTGGTTTTCTAGACTGGTAAATATTTTAATGATGTTAGACATTTTTGAAACCATGAATCGATCAATATTAGACCACCATTAGAAACCTGGAAGCACTGAAAGACGGCCCCATAATGCAAATTATCTGTGCTCACTAGTGACTAGCTTCGTGAGGAATCTACTCCGAGTTCTAGTGGGAAGACGTGACCAGTGAAGTTCAATCTGTTCGGGTGTAGACAGTAACTACCGAAGACTGTGTATGAGGTTGCGCAACTCCGTGAATTTGATCAAGTTAGACATTAACACCGTTAGATACTGGCTCAGTGGTCGATGGTTAGACGTTCACCTACAGCACCGAAGGTCCTGGGTTCGAATCCTGCAGGGGTGCAGGAGTCGTGGATGGGCACTGCAACTGATGAGTCCCATACCAGACTGAGACGGCCGTCCAATGCTTCCAGGTTTCTAATGGTGGTCTAACATTGATCGATTCATGGTTTAAAAAATGTGTAACTTAACAATCTTCACAACCCCATAATGCAATTTTAATGATGATCAACCGAAAAATCTTTAGGACTTGGGGATGATGGTTATCTGCGTGTGTGTAGGGAGGTAGGTATTTCTCGTATCTATCTATCTATATATGTTCGAATACCTGTCAATGAATTTGCATTTTTGTATCAATATTCCCTACACCACATTCAATAGGTATTGGAAAAAAAGATAGAAACCAATTGACAATATAATGCCTCTAACATTTAAGTGATTTTTATTGTTGTGTCTATTTATAGCCTATTCAGAATTCTGAGATGTGATTTTATGCATAGATATTATAACCACTTATCATTAAGATCAATTAATTTTAAGAATTCTAACTAATTAACTAACTAACTAACAGATTTATCGATTGTTTGGTTTTTTTTTTGCTATTTGTTTCTCTTAAATAGGTTTTAGATATTGTTCGAGAGAATTATGATTCATTGACTTTACGATTTTTAGAAAATTTAGATCAAATCGAAGAGTATGAGATTGACAAAGAAGATTCAATAATGTTTCATACTATTGTAAGTGATTTATTAAATATAAATATCATTATTATGGAGAATAAGCACAATTATATAAATGGTGGTTAGGATTGAAATTTTAGAACATACGCTTCGTCCCAATCGGGACTTGTCAGTTGGATGTACCAATATATTCCAAAAATGATGTCCATACTTGTACACCTGGTTTCGTTTGCTTAAAATATTAAACACGCTTTAAATTTTGAGTTTAATTGAATACATGAAAGGAAATTTTGAAATTACTTGGTAGATTTAATTAACAAGCCGATACAAATAGGTACACAAATCTTACGTACATACATATATATTTACTACTGATCATCTGATTCAGAGAAGGTTATATAAGTTAAGCACTTGACTAGATGGTTGACTGACTTCCTTACACAGAGTTGTTGGTTTCTAATTTATCACCCATTACTTAACAATGACTTGATATGTTCATCATTGAAATCATGAATCAACCATTGTTTGAACATGATTGTAAATTTAAAAGCATTGGACGTCTGTTTCGTCCTAGTATGGTATTTTTCAAAAGTGTGCATCCACGACCCTTGCTTCATAAGTCTAAAAAGAAAAATCATAAAGTGTGCTCACTAGTGACTAGCTTTGTGACTAAAGTTTCTTAGTCCCGGTTAAAAGCCTTGACCAATGGAGTTCAACCCTTTCCGGTAGTAGGCAGTAACTACAGAAGACGCTGAGTAAGGTTGTGCACAACCTTAGGTTGATCAGTGTTAGACATTTACACTGTTGGATGCCGATTCAATAGTCTAGAGGTTGGGCGTTTGTGTGTGAGACCGAGGGTCCTGGGTTCGAATGTTGTAAGTAGCAGGAGTCGTGGCTGTGCAATGCTAATGATCCCCATATGTGGACGAAACGGCCGTCCAGTGCTTCCATGTTTCTAATGGTGGTCTTACAATGATAGAATTACGATTTCAACGATAAACCACATTCTCAATAACTCTATAATAAAGAATGGCATAATAGTAAGCACTTATGTTATCCAGATTATCATTTGATTGATCTGTTAAGTTGGATACACTATTTACTTAAGTTTTCATATAATACTCCATAATCATATATAATTGAATTTCGATTGTAAACGTTTTTTAGTGTAACGAATGTCAATAGTTCATTGATCTACAGATGCCTTTGGGTGTGGATCAATGTTTCAATTTTCACAATGCATTAATGTTTAAACGTACAAAATGCTATAATCTTTGAATTACTTATTATTTTACTTGTCTTGTATTATTGTAACTGTATTTATTTGCTAATCTGTATCATAATAATGTTTGTTGTTTTTTTCTTGATTGGTTAAAAATAAACATTTGAACAATGAAGATTGAATCAATCACTAAACAAATACGTAAAGACTGTTTTGATTCAAGTTTAGATATACAAAATCAATTGCATGAATTATCATCGATATCTTAAAGCAAAACTATCAATATCGCTGGTGGTGATGATGAAGTTGCGGGGGAGAAAGTGAATGAAATTTCTAGTTGTTGCTTTTTTTTAAAAAAAAACAATTTCTTGTCGTCTTTCATAACATCTTTTTTGCTATTATGATATCTTTTATTTAGTAAAAAAGAAATCGTGAATAAACAGTAATTAGTTGTACATTTTTCTTTAGATCAATAATTTTTTTTGATAATTTTCTAACAATATTTATAATAAATAATGTGATAGTTTTACATATTCATTTCTTATTTTAATTCATGGTTTGTTCGTTTGTTTGTTTGTTTATACTTTTTTTTTAAAAAAAATTTAAATTCCCTAAAATATTGTCATTAAATTTTGTAGTACTTCTTTTTTTCACATAAAAACACTTGATTGAGATTTCTGTACACATTGTCACCAAGCATGCAATAATTTTCAAAGTATACACATGTATTGTTATTATCATGTCTTGATGTGAATTCATCTTTTTTACACACTGTGACTATTTTAAAGTATCTTAATAAGTCATCAACTGGATATTTATTAACTGGTTCTCTTTTTTCCATAAAATTGTTTACTTCGAAAAAATGCCACGTTGAGTGCTTAATTTATTTTTACTATCTCTTTACACTACTGGTTATTATAGCAAGTAGTATAGTTTTATTGTACATGTTCAGTTGATGCTCAGCTGTAAACTATATTTCTAATAAATTATTTTTCAGTGCAGCTTGGTAATTCAGTTTGAAAACAGCACTACCAACTTAATGTTCGCTGACACACTTTGGGCTATATGCTAAATATCATTTTCGTCGATTTTGGAAAGACATCCTACTGATAGATACCATTAAATGTTGAATCTAAACCCTTATATTGTTTTCGTTGTTCTTCAACTGTACTATCTAAATTCATCTGCATTTTGTGTACTTAGGTTACAGGACACCTATGAATATCCTCCATTGATCACCATACATTTTTTGGTATTTATTGCTAGAAATTCTAATGGGTTTTTTGGAAATTCAAATTGACTAAACAGTTCACAAACGCTCATGCTTACTTATTCAGTAGACATCTATATTTGTAAAGATAAACTTTGAAAGTAGTGACCAAAACACTACACTTTCAAAAATTAGATCAAAAAGCAGTAGGAGACTACAAAATAATACTCTCAGGAAAAACAAATCAACATTGGCTTGCCCGAAGATTGCCTTAAAGAATTGCTCCTAAGATGTACGTTGAACGTCCATTTCGTATTCAAAAACAATTATTATAGACAAATAGACAGTATAGCCATGGATTCACCTCTAGGCCCAATTCTAGCTGATCTCTTTCTAGCAAAGCTAGAAAATGGACCAGTCAATGAAGCTATTCAGAAATTTGATCTATATTGCCGTTACATCGATGACACCATCATTGTAGATCAGGCCACCAGAAAAGAAAAACTCTTAGAACAATTCAACAGTGTACACCCGGCAATCACGTTCACTGGTGAAGAAGAATATGATAAAAAACTGACTTTCCTTGGCATCACACTAAGTAGGCGAAGTGATGGTTCACTAAGTAGAAGCGTGCATAGAAATACTGCCAGTGCTTGCCAAAACACTAACTTTTGTAGTTTAACACCTATCCGCTACAAAAGAAATTTGGTTAGATGTCTCACTAACAGAGCAAATATGATATGTTCAGTGGATACTTTAAGTCAGGACCTGGAATTCATCAACGGCTCACTAACCGAGATTGGTTATCCCAGCGCATTCATAAAGAAGAATATGTTTGCCGTAAAAAAGAATTCGCTGGTTTCGACCGCCCAAAAGAAGCCTTTATTTATGAAGTTACAATTCAACGGATATGTGGCCTGCGATACTCTGTAGGACAGATTAATATGAGTAAAGAATAAAACATTCAACGCTGCCAAACTTGCATTGACATTCTCCAGTCGACCAGCGATGTCTACTCAAACGAAGGATAAGTTACCTGAGTTGGCCTCCTCTATGTGCATTTACAAATTTAGCTGTTCCTGTGGAGATAGCTATATCGGGCGTACTTCCAGGCAACTTACCCAACGAATGAGTGGACATCTCCTAGCATGGTTTACGAAGGGTCAGTCAAAAACAATACACAGTTCTATCTTAGCACACCTGGTAGATAGTGGTCACATTGTAGATAAATCTAGATCTTTTCAGGTGATCTATCGTAAACGTCCAACCGAGTTCGATCCCGTCTCCTACACATTGCAGAAGCCATAGGAATACGTATATTCAACCCCAGTTTATTTGTTCAGAAGAAATTCGCGACACCCCTATCTCTTCCGTGGCCGGATATGACGTAACTAACGATTGACATTATATTTTTTATTTTATTTTTACACATTTGCTTATTACGTAATGGTTTTGATGTTTTTTTAATGATTATTTGAAGTCTATTCATCCACGTTTGATATACTATTAATAAAACTTTAGTTATCATATTTTTCATTTCATTGTGATTATCATTCAAATTGCCTTGATTGGTTTAACATTTTCATATAAATATTCATGTATATTAGAGTAAAGCCTGATGACGATCTAATCGAAAACTGAACAATTCCCTTAAATCTACCAAAATAATTAATTTTGAAAATCAATTTTTGTAAATAACGTTTTCTATATATTCAGGTCAACTAATTTCCGTCCAACTATTCGTTTAAATAATAATAACAATTATCCATATGAACGACTATTCTATTGTTATTTGATCCGTATTTATTTTATGGATTTCATATCTGGCAACTTAGATCAGGCTTTTTAATGAGTTTCCACTTATTGTTTTGGTTGAATGGTTTACTGTCTCTTTCAACAAAAACATATAACAACAAAAGAAAAATATAACTTTAGTGTGAACAAAATTATTTGCTTTTCGTGACTGTCATTCACACCCTGGAACGATCTCGGCATTATTTCAATAACACGAAATCGCCAAGAAATATCCAATTACATCCTTATCCTGTTTTATTCCTTGTCTGAACACTAAGGGAGGATTTAATCCGGTATTTGGCACTTTATCGATTTGCGGTGGTGATCATAGTCAATCTCCACCCGACACTCCACATTTGGTGAGCGAAGACTTTGAACAGGCCTTGACTGCTGGAGACTCTCACAAAGAAGCTAATTACGGTGTGTCTTTTATTAATTTATCCACAATTATTTATTTTATTGTTGTTGTATACTTCATATCGACACTTCAACTCGAAATTGTGGATAGTTTCAAGAATAGTTATAATACAAAAGACTCCGAAAGGCAGGTTATCAATTTCCCACCTGTTTCTTTAATCCCCCACGATCCAGAAGTCTGGTTGGCAGCACTAGAGGCTGAATTCGCGAACCGCAACATGGATGATGTCCGTATTCTGGTAAAGCGATCAAAAATGTTGATAATTCCTACTCACAACTCTAATTTCGATATTCACTGTAAACTACGAGGAGGTGCACTTATGGAAACCAACTAACGTAAACGTCCCCATAAACACTGTCTTCAGTAGTTTCACATCTGTTATATACAAATAAATTTAATAAGTGATGCACAGATATGAAGGGATGTGAATTACATACTAAAGAAACCTTAATCCGAAAAATACTGGTGCACATAATATTTCTCGATTTAGCAAAAGCCTTCGATGCAGTGCTCCACTCATTCCATATTGCGAAGCTTGAGGAAATGGGATTCGCTGACACACTTGTATCTTGACTCAGAATCTACTTTAAGAATAGAAAGTCTCATACAAAGGTAAATAGTGTGCTCGCAGGTTGGCTAGTCTCAACATCTGGAGTTTCACAGGTGGCCATCTCAGGTCTACTTTTCTTCCTGATATTCATTAACGACCTGTTAGGCACAGTTAGCTCGTCGACAATGATCTATGCAGATGATGCAAAGATCTGGAGGTCCATTAGAAGCGAGGGGGAATCGACTAAGATTCGAACGGACCTTACACACAAACAACTTAAACCGTATCAAAAGAACAAGAATCGATTGAAGAGAATTCGAGTTGTTGATCCAAGCTCACGGAAAGATATGGAGTATTGGGTTTGTTTTGTTGAGCCAGAAAGACATTTATTCGTTTCATGTTATTAAATATCGTGACTTAGAGAAAGGCATTTCTTTTATGAGCAGTAATAATACAGAAGCAAAACACAGATAGTGGAACAGATAAAAAACCTCTACTTAGGTGCTTTTTCATTGAATTATAAGGATAGAGATAAGATTCGGTTCTAGCAAATAGTGATATTAACGAATAATATCACGATTTTTATTACCGTCGTTCTTCAGTTAGTTTTAGCATAGGTATAGTATACGGAGTAAGATGGAGGATTTTATTTCATGACATATTCGTTCGTTTATTTCAGGGTCAGATAAAGGGTCACGCAATGATAATTAGAAGTAATTGGATTCTGTATGCTAAGTGATAATGCCCAGAACTGTTCAGCTCGTACTCGAATCCTGGTCCATATATGACTATTAAAGTCGAGGAAGACTACGTGAGCTCAGTAGAATGTAATTTAAAACAAAACAAAACAAAGTATTTCGACCGAATTTGAAGTTTATTTGATGCTTGTCGTTTCTTTTTATGTCTAATTCATTTGCTGACAACTTTGATCAGAATAACTATTAAGTAGGTTAGAAAGATTAAGCTATAGCTGCCAAGCATTTACTAACATTCATCTTGTTATTATTACAGCTCAACTGAATAATAACACAGATTCTATCTGAATTTTGTGCTGATAATGTTGTTCAGAAGAACGATGACAGCTCAAGCATGTTGCTTATTTGAGAAAATGATATTTGAAATTATCTCAGCAGTTGAAATTTAGTTATTTTCATCGTATCGCCCAGCAAACTTATCTGAACTTCCACAAGGTAAAAACCGAAATCAATTATTTATTGTTTGCTGATCAAATCAAGTGTGCACTATTTGCTTATTCAGTCATATTCAGATGCTGACTTTAGTAAATTGGTTTACATAAATCAATGAAATGTTAAATGGAGTTAATTGGAGAACTCAAGTTCATGACATATTCGTTTGTTCAAATCAGGGTCCGATAAAGGGTCACGCAATGATAATTAGAAGTAATTGGATTCTCTATGCTAAGTAATAATGCACAGAACTGTCCAGCTCGTACTCCAACAAACACATATGGGCCAGGATTCAAGCCTTGGTGAGCTATATGAGCTCAATAGAATGTGATGTATTTGAAATACAAATAAGTGGCGGGATAACTAACGCAGGAATTGACAATTAGTACAAGCACCATGAACACGTTAGTAATTTTTAGAATGGAAAGTTATGATATGTACAAGTTATTGAAATCTCTTCAATAAATTAAGAAAAGGAATCGTTCTGAGTTTATAGAAATGTGGTTTATTCAAGTGTAGTAGTCAACGATGTAAATGTAATTTGATGCATGATAATACAAGAGCATCATCCAAACTAATTTAAATGAATGTTTCAATTTACATACTCTGAGATGGTAACTACAATCTCATTACGAAGATATTCCAGGCAATCGTAGGTAGGTGAATTTAACAATTTAATGCTATCCAACAATAGAGGATAAAATTAACACTTTCACTACCCATAAATTTTATTACAATGAAGATGAAATGTTATCTATGACTAATCTACCGATGGATTAATAAATGAACAATTCTACAAATAATAATAGGAAGGATAATATCATTATGATGAGAGATAAGCTTATTCACCAATAGCAGATATGCTTGCTTCTTGAACCTAACTCAATATAAATTGTTTAGTAGTATTCATTCTGTCACATTAAATAGAACATAATC